CCTACCCACCTACCTACCTACCTACCCACCTACCCACCTACCTAGCGACTCACCTACCTACCTACCCACCCACCCACCTACCTACCTACCCACCCACCTACCTACCTACGCACCCACCCACCTACCTACCCACCCACCCACCTACCTACCCACCCACCCACCTACCTACCTACCCACCACCTACCTACCTACCCACCACCTACCTACCTACCTACGCACCCACCTACCGACCTACCGACCTACCTACCGACCTACCGACCTACCTACCTCCGACCTACCTACCTCCGACCTACCGACGTACCGACCTACCGACCTACCGACCTACTGACCTACCGACCTACCGACCTACCGACCTACCGACCTACCGACCTACCGACCTACCGACCTACCGACCTACCGACCTACCGACCTACCGACCTACCGACCTACCGACCTACCGACCTACCGACCTACCGACCTACCGACCTACCGACCTACCGACCTACCGACCTACCGACTACCGACCTACCGACCTACCGACCTACCGACCTACCGACCTACCGACCTACCGACCTACCGACCTACCGACCTACCGACCTACCGACCTACCGACCTACCGACTACCGACCTACCGACCTACCGACCTACCGACCTACCGACCTACCGACCTACCGACCTACCGACCTACCGACCTACCTACCGCAGCAGCAGCAGCCAAGAAAAGCCAGAACGTGCTGCCAGCATGCGGTGGTGGAGGCCATCCATACCTGTGTCGCTAGCACCATGGAAGCATGGATGACTGCTCGGTTTGCTGGTGCTAGCAGACGCGGTGGCGGCGGCAGCAGCATCACGGATGGCTCCTAAGTAACCTGGTGCGGAGGGAGATGCGGCACCGGTCTACGATGTGGCGGTGTAAAGAGGTGTGGCGGTGCAGATACCGATACCGATGTATAGTATGGCGTCAGCCACCTTGCATAGCGAGTGTATGTATGCCTGCATGGTGCGTGTGTATTCAAGTGATGAGGCTGCGAACCTGCGGCTGCGGTAGCGGGCACAGAGGGGATCCTGCTGCCTGCGGCTGCCCTTGTAAGGAGCACAGCGATAGATCAGGATAGAGCGCTGTAGTAGCTGGGCGCTGGAAAAGCCTCTCGCGATGCTGGTCGAGCGCATCACGCGTATTTGTAGATGATGTGTGTGACAGACTGTTTAGCTACTACAAGCACTGCCAGAAGTGAATGTAATGGATACGTGTACATGGGGGATTTTCAACGTGTAGCATATCTTGAGACCTGTCAGGGTCTAAAATCCTTTCGATGATGTATAGTAAGAATGCCCCTAGTTGATGGACGGTGGTTACCTGGGATAAAGTTGACCTGCGAGCTGACCGGGAATGGAGTTAGGACGCCGTTGATGTCGGCAGATTCCGTTGGATGCCGGTGGTGGGTGCGGAACCTGAGCGATCCACTGAGATGTTGACTAGGGTGACTGGATGAGGGTGCCCCGAAATACCGGGGAAGGCAGGGTTTCGCTGGGTAGCGGCCACAGGGTGAAGATGTGGCCCCCTGTCCCACACATCATATGTACGTTCCAACTGCGTGTGATAATGTAAAGGGTGCGGGGAGAGCAGTGTATTCACCCAACGGCTATACATACGAATATCTGTCAAGGGGTAACCGCAATTTAAGGACTGAGGAATTCCATTACCGCAAGGAACGGAGTATGATGACAGAGGTTGCAGTGATGATTTGTACCTCCGGAGGTACGAACCACTGATCCGTAATGGAGCTGTATAACATATGATGACAGAGGTTGCAGTGATGATTTGTACCTCCGGAGGTACGAACCACTGATCCGTAATGGAGCTGTATAACACATTCCGACCCTAAGCACATCGTCAGCATGCCTCACGGGGATCTAGCTTGGCGGTGGCTTGGAGGACGGCACTGCTGGTGGCTGGCGGCAGCAGAGGAATTCGCCCACCGCCGCTAACAGCAGGGGTGGGTTTCGAGGTCACAAAGCATGCATATGGCAGCAGCAGCAGCAGCAGCAGCGCGGACGTAGCTGTTTCCTTGCATCACTGCTCGTGGGTGGGGCATCATCAGCAACAACGGGTGGTTGCGATGTTGGGGTGCGGTCGGTACGGTCAATCTATTGTGGCGGCGACTTTTGGACAGTAGCAGCTGTCCACTGGTACACATGTGTATGTGTGTATGTGTGTATGTGTGTATTTCTATGTTACATGTCAAACCGGGCCTGGCATTGGCCAGTACCCCAACGGAAGCGACCGTACCCAACGGAAACGACCACCGAAGCGCTCTCCTCCTTGTGGGGGAAGAGGGGCGTGAGGGGCTACTATCCCCTCCTGCTCGACCGAGGGCGTGTGCACCCCCGCGTTTCCCCCTTTCGTCAAGAGGACAGAGAGCGGTGGCTACCAAGGCCCTCAAAAACATACATTTCTCCTCAGTACGCGCTGCGGCACAGCTCCGTCCATGCAGCCTGTGCCTTGAGCAGGCGCGGCTGCGCACCCCGGGTGGGTCCTTACGACACCTGGACCCTCCTCCCCGTGATGAGGGCCCCCCCTACCGGCGCCTTAAGCCCAACAGCTGAACCCTACAACCAAAACTGTCCACACTACGCCCCTCCTCAACGAAACTACCTGTTTCAGTCCGAGGGGTGGCCCTTATACGCGTCAGGCAGGGGGTCCAAGGTGTCAAGGCGGGAGCTTGCCTGGTGGGGCTATAGCTCGCTCCGTGGCAGCACCTCACCACAGGTCACCACTCCGTCTTGCTCACTCACACTACTCCTGCAGCACCGCCCTTATTGCTGTGCGGGTTTCAATTCCTGGGCTTTCCCTTCTCCGCAGTAGCAAGCTGAGCAACCAGCACCTGGGTCGTCATACCCCGCCTATCCCTAGCTATCAGTTACACTGTTACTAGGTGGCCGCATAGCAACGCATTCCGCCACCCACTACGGCGATGATGGGGTGGTCGGCTCCCACCCCGCCCCACCCACGTCGCGGCGCTCCGAGCTCTGCAAAGCTCTTCATCCGCTGCCATTGGACCGCCTCTATGATCGCGGGCGCTTTGGCAACTTCAACCCCGGGGTGGGGTGTCCGGTCGTGTGTAAGGACCACCGGCTCTCATTCCATATTGCACCCAACAAGGATGGATGAACGGTGATTACATGCAGGCTTGCCTCCCGCGTGTGTTCCAAATCGAACCTGTCTCACCTTTCCGTTTATCGCACTCGCAGATCCTCATGGACCCCTTATTACCGTGGAAGTGATCATGTGCAGGTGAAGAAGTGGAAAACCTTGCTGTTGTGCAGGCTGGTCTTCGGGTTGACACTCCATGCCGGAATGCAAAGCTGTGACACAAAGCATTCGCGCGAAACAGTTTCATCAGCAGATTTTTCAAAATCCTCTTTGGTTCAGGTCCTACCAACATATTCCAAGGGCTGCATTTGCCGCTGCCCCTGGCAGTGTCGCAGCCCTGAACCCCACCCACGCACACTCCATCACCATCAGAGCCGCCAATGCCACGACGCCAGACCCACACACATTCCTATACCCCCGGCGGCGCCTCAGCGAGCCACACCTTGGCCCTGGTCATGCCGTGCCCGGGCACGGGGGGCTCGATCTGCGCTGTATCACCGTTTTGACTACCAGGCAATTCCAGGAGTGGTGAGCACGTGGCGTGCACTGCTGGGGTCCCCTGCCGCTGTACTACTGGCCACATCTGCATGGTTCACGGTGGGCGTTGTGAAGGTGAGCATTTTCCGGCAGAGGACCCCTCCACCGCCCGGTGCTGTAGACCCTCTCCTTGCTCCCGCACTCCCATTTGGCGGTCCAGGGCCGACACAGCATATCCTCCCACACACATGATGGTCTGGTCTGGATTGACACTACTGCAATTAGCAGTTTAAGGTCCTGGGTTCGATTCCTGGGGAGACCCCCGAATTAGTCGGGAGCGCGAGATTATGGCTAGCTGCTGAGATGTGGAGTTGAGGTCACAGTTGATGGACCAGATTCGCACGCTGGATTGGTGGCGATTGCCGAACCCTCCGTCTCATCGGGTGTTCGGGTGAATGGATGAGGAGGGGTCCCTGAAGGCTGGATCCGCCGCCTTGGACTTACAGTTCGTATGGCGAAGTACAGTGTGGTAGTGGTGGATGGTGCTGTAAGGTGATAAATGATCTAGAACTGACAATGTGATAAAGCGGCCCAGAAGCCTCCCACTCTGTAACATTACAAAATTACATGATGTGCCCGGTGATGCAGCACCTGCTGTGTCAGCTGACACCAGCTTGCAGTGGCGCGCTGGCAACAGCAGCGGTGCGGCCAAAGTGGAAGGAAAGGTGCGTAGCAGCAGCGATGCTGGAGCCACCCCGTCGGCTCACGCACGTCGCCTCGCGGACATGCTCGTGAGTCGTTCCGTGAGCAGCAGCTGTGCAGCCTCCTAGCAGTGCGGGCCGCCACCCAATTGCCGTCCTTAACCTGCCGGCGGCTCCTCGGGGCGGCTCACACACCGTGGAGGGAGCTACAGCCAAAACAGGCCGCCTGCGGTGGGAGCTACAGGACGCCTAATGTACGGCACACAGCACCTCAAACGGTGTGGCCCAGATGTCCAGGCCGCAGGGCGGGGGCAATCTAGAATCGGCGGTGTTGGCATCAATATGAACGCGCGACTATCTATAGCGGCACATGAACTGAATCGCGGCGGGCTGCGGCAGCAGGGCGGCTGGGACTAAAACAAGTGATAATAGCAAGGTAGAATGGTGCACCGGAAGCCCAACCTGTAGGGGCCAGTCCGTCCTGAGCCCATTTACTTCGCTATTTATTGAATTTATGCCGAGACGAGTCGGATTTTAGCTTCTTTGGCGCTCTTGTTTGGGTGTTTGCGTGCAGCCCCTTTAGCCAGTACGCACACAGAGACCACACAGAGCCGTGTGTGCCACGCAGCACCCTATACGAGCCCAGCGATAAGGCTGAGGGGACTGGACTTGCCGACCAGCGCCCTCAGAGAGGCGCCCAGATAGGATGGAGGAAATGCATAAACATGCACCATACGGTCCACGAAACCCTCCGCACCCGGTGCAACCCTTCATTAACCGCATTATCAGGTTACAGGTGGCCACCGGTTACATACTGGTGGTTTGAGGGCGGCTCCAGGCCCCAACCCCCCACAGACAACACCGAGCCCTAAAATCCCCCGTGAACGTCTTGCTCCAGGTACAAGCTGATGCAATGAGCCGGTAGCCACGAGGGCTGCGGCTTCCTATCCAAACGGGCCTTTTGCAATAGGGGCCCTTCCTAATACGGGCCCTATCCTGGCGGTTCACGGGAGGACACTAATCCTTGAGCGCTGGCCGTGAGGTTCGGCTTGCATTTAACCAAGGGCACTACAGCTCTCATTTTGGACGTGACAACACTTAATAAGGTAAGTCGAAGTGCCGATCCTCTTGCCACAATGCTCATAAGGTGTCATAAAACGCTAACAGGTGAGAAGCAGTGGCCATTGAGGTCCGCGCGGCGAAGGGTACCGTGCGTACTACACAATCGAAGCGCAGAATCCTAACGAATGTAAGTACTTTCCAACCGGAGTTAAAGGCGAACTTTATTCTATATATGCTTCGTTTTTATAATGGCATCATGGGACATTTAAACCGCCTGGTAAAGCCGAAGAGATGTTCCAGCGTCGTACTAATGTTTTTTTAGGTGCTGAACTTTGACTGCATCTACAATACTTGATGGCTATATTAGGGGCCTAATATAGAGTTGACAAAGTAAGCTCTCGCAATGCTGTCAAACTTGTGTCGGGCTCGCCTAGGCTCGCTTGCGTTCGGAACTTGCCAGGTAACCCGCTTACGCAGTAGTATATGTGTTGATGATCTTGCCGATTTACCTATATGCCTCCTCCAGAGCCCTGCAGCAGCAACTTTTGACGTTGTGCGCCGTTTGTTTGTGGTGCCGCTTGACGAGGTGCAAGGTACAAACATCTGCTCGACGAGGTAAGATTGACAGTCCAATTCCAGGTCACCTTGCTCGCGGGGGGTTGCCTTTCCTTGCGACACGCGACAATCGAGGGACATGCCCCGCCGCGCAGCCCAGTCATACAGGAGTGAGCAAGGCCAATTTCCCGCGCGCCCACCCTCCCGCAAATACACCAAACCAATAATATGACCATCGTACTTCCTACCATGCACGGCCGCCTCGCCAATGCACATGTTGCCCATTGCCTGCCTTCGGTTCCCTTTTCCCCCCCTCATGAACGACCTAAGCCCGAACCGCCAAACCCAAAACATGACGCAGTGGCAATCACAACAGCGGTTACAGTCAGCACAGCGGCGGCTGCAACAGCAGCCTGCGGACGGCAGGGCACCTATCGCGCGAGGTTTTATTTGGATCCAAATCTTTCCGGGCCCACGCGGCCGCAACGCGCGCATCATGCGGCCGTTTGAGTCCTTTCTCCCAACCTGAGGAGCTGCCAACCCCCCCTGGAGTCCCTCTCGGGGCTCACAGGGCCTTCGCACGCCTCTATAGGGCCCTTCAGACAACCTGGTGGTCCATGGTTGCACTTTCGGTAGGTGACAGGATCCCCCAAGCGTGCGGCCCGTACGGCTGTATGATGGCTGCCGTACAATGTCCGCGTCGGGGCGTCTGACCGTTCCAAACGCCGTTGAGTGGTTAGAGCGGTCCAGACCGGGGTAATGTGCAGGACACGCTTGCCTGCCTGTCTGTCTGTCTGTCTGTCAATTAACTATCATATTAGACTGGCTGAGAGCCTGTCTGTCTATCTGACTATTTTTTGTCCGAAAAGACAAACGGCATTGCGCCGGGCGGCATCTTCGCGAGCGATACCGACAACGATACAGCCTCATTCAGGTTTACTGCGGTCGCCATCCTATCCTGGCGGGCCCTTATGGCGACCTCGCTCCATCGTTTCTCTTCCTCTTCTTCCCTTGGATGCCCTCCAACGACAACCGTGCAATAACCTACCGTCTGTGCGTGTGTATGGATGGATGTATGTATGGATGGATGTATGTCATGCAACGAAACCGACATTGTGCCCTGCCCGCGTCAACGCCTCCCTGCACACCCTTTGCAACACCTTTCGCATTAACAACAACGATGCTACAGCCCCATATGGTTTTTGGCGGCTGGGTCGGCGGCAGTGGTGACGCAGGCAGCAGCATCTGCAGCAGCAGCAGCAGTTACGGCGGCAATGGGGGTTGGGGCCCCTTGCTTCTGGCCCGACGCCTGCCGACAGAGCCAGAGCCCTTCGAGGACGAGTACGACGACGACGAGTACGAGGATGGCGAATTTGTGGATCTGGATGACGAGGATCTGTTGGGGGACGTCGGCGAGTTCGAGGATGACTGGGAGGAGGCGGACGACGACAGAGACTCAATGTACGACGAGGACGATGCAGGGGGTGATGGGCCGGAGGAGTTAGGGGAGAGCGAGGCGTCCGGTGAGGGCGGTGAGGAGTTGCCGCCACCACCACCGCCGCCGCCGCGGAGCAGGAGCGGTGCCTGGCGCTGAAGACATACACTTATACACACAGAGACAACGTACACGCATACAGGAGTCAATATTATAATGTGCTTTTCGATTTGGGATAGTATGTAGCCACCACATGCGTGCAGATGAAGATCACGTTGCACGACGTACGTTCTGCAGCACGCAGCCGCCGCCGCAGACTCCTTGGTGTTCGGAAAGGAAGTAAGGTTGTGTCGAGGCTACATCAGCAGTAGTAAAAATGGCGGTCATTGGGAAGTTGTGGTTGGTTTTTAGGTAGCTTGGTTGGTTGGTAACAGACAGCTGCAGAAGGGGCCTGCAGCAGAATAAGGCCACACCCCTTGCGCCTACTATGACTTGAAAGGAAACAGGTGAGCTGTGTATGGATGGATGGATCGACACAAGACGCGGTTATGGGTCGGGGGGATCAGGGCAGGGCTGTCAGGGTGGGTGGGGTCTGCGGGGAAACTGAATAGTGCGGATATGAGAGAGGGGCGTGTGGAGGCAGAAAAAAGTGGCCCCCAATCCCCCCTGGTCAATAAACAGCTGAACCGCGGGCGCTTCCCGATCCCCCTCCACTCCCCTCGAAGAGCTCAACCTCATCCAGTACGCGTTTAAATAAACTGAGCGAGGGAGGGCATGTGAGTCAGGTTGTCTAAGAAAATTGCCGGTTCCAGCTAATTGCCGGTTAGCACAACCGTCCGAGTTTCGGTGTGAGTGAAGAGGCGGATGACGTAGGGGTGTTTGGGGGAGTAAGTGGTCGAACCTGGGCAAAGTCGTAGTTCGGCCATCCTGGCTGGTTGGGGCTTGGGGTGACGGAGTGTGCGCGCCTCCTGCCGAGGTGCCGTGAAAGGAAAACCGGAGGCGGCAGATCCAGCGAGGTGAAAGAAGCTTCCGACGCGGTCCAGCGAGGTGAAAGAAGATGCGTCCGGTGGAGAATAAGAGACGAATGGGAGAGCAACGCAAAGGGGGCTTAGGGCTAGGAAAAGACGTGTGGCGGGGGGAGATGCAAGGCGGGGATAGAAAACGGAGGAGGGTTTTCTACGGGGGAGGAGGGGCAGCATGACGTCTCCATTAGAGAAACTATGGGGCCAAATGGCTTTGGGTGCTGGTCCTTGGGTGTTGGCCCAGGTCGTATGGGCAGCGGAGAAAGGGAAGGGCAGGAATGGGAATAATATGCTGTGCGAGAATTCAGCGGGAGAACGGAGAAGTTAGGGAAAGAGCACTAAAGAGCCTAGCGGCCAGGGCTTGCCGAAACACGGGGAGGGCTTGACCCGCGAGGCGTTGCCACATGATCTGAATAGAACATGATGGGTTGTGTGCCGCAGCACTTTCTGAAGAGGCAACAACTTAAGCGAGCTCCTTTTCAAAATTGTGGAGATGTGTTACAGGGCGCGATCACCCCGACGGAAAGAAGTTAGGATAGCAGCAGCGCTGGTTGCGGTTGGAAATGCAGCTGGGGGAAGATTGAGGTATCTCTGCATTGGGGAACGATCCGTGATATGTGTGACAGTATTCCTGAAAAGGTCGTGGCAGAGACTGCGTATCCGAGTGAAAAAGGGGAGCGAGCGGATCTTCCCTGTGGGTGAAATATTGACTGGGAGCAGACTGGGCTCAGTCAGTGCTGCCAGTGGCCAGAACAATCTCAAAAGATTCCGTGCATGGAAGGATGTAACCGCGATTACGATTATTGAGATGCTGGACCTGCCTGAAAGCACGTCGCGTTCCGATCTCGTCCCATCCGTAAATGCCGTAATTAGGCGTGTGAAACAAGCTAGGTGCAACTTCTTCCAGATGCATACATGCTCTTTCCTCTTTCCAGTTTCAAAGTTTTGTTTCCGTCTTATAAAGAAAGAAGTGAAACAAGATGCCTCGTTACCTAAGGATAGCGGACGTCCCTGCGATACTGTCTGAACTGCAAGGAACTGGAGACAGCACGCCCTATCAGAAGAACGAATGGCAACAACGATGGTGCAAAATTACGGATGAGCCCGAAGAGGTGCGTCAAATAACTGGCTTACTGTTTCGGGCAAAACCCACTCCCAAGCAACAAAGGTCCACACGCATGCAATTTGCAAATCTGACTTTGATGCTGCCTTTGTATTCTTTGGGAAAAGATTTGTCTCTGAAGATTCAGTGTCGGTCAGGCCCGCTGCCCCCCATGCGGAATCCTTCTCCAAGTGCAGTCACAATTTGCCTGAATCAAATGATTGCCTCCAGAGTGCTGCCGTGCTGTCCTATCGATGGCGCATTCGTGGTCGCGCTGAGAATATCAACGACTTCAGGAGGTGGCTTTCCGACTGCGGCAACGAGGGCTATTCGGTTCACGACCTGCGCGATGGGGAAGCGTCCGTGGACTGGTCTCTAGCGGATGGCCATGCCCTACAAATTGAGGTATCTTTTGTCGGCGTATTGCGAAGGAGCATGGCGAAGGTTGCATGCCCTCATGCCATTCTTATGCTTGTCCGCGTTCACCATGAAACTAGGATCCATGCCATCTAAGATTCCTCTGATCAAACCCTTGTAAAATTAGCAGGTATGCTAGCGCGGTCACTTATGGACCAAGACAGCGGTAAAGGCGGCCTTACGGCAACCCTTGGAGCGGAAATGGTTTGACTATGTGCTTATCCCAGCCCCCATCGAGCCGTCCGCAGCCCCCGTCGACTCATTCCCAGACTATGCAGATTGGAGAAGAAATAGAAGTGAAGGGCCTGGCCGGATAAGCAGTTCCACGTGCCGTTCGACTTTTATAGCCTTTTTGTATCCTGACCCATCTCACAGCTCGGCCATCAGTAGGTATCCCTGTGTGACCCATATTATGTGACACTTTGCAGTCTTGCATTAGTAAGACCCACGTTGCCAATTCGTCAACATCCCAAGACACCTTTTGCCGGATAACTACTGAAGGACTTTCGGTTCAGCACGCGGGCCTTATGCGGCTTAGTTTCGTTTTCTGCCTCGTTTTCCTCACGTCATCGCTGCCTTTGGTGATCGTTTGGTCTCCCGAGTCTTGAAGGTTGTGGGGTTGCTGGAGCAAGATATGCAATGGACACGGCCCCGTCATGGCGCTGTCCGGCCCCTCCCCTCCGCCCAAGCCCTGCGGTTATGTGCCGGCCACCCTAACGTGAAAACGTTGATAGACCTGGTACCCCTCCTACTAGCTTCCCCTGTCCTTCTAATGCTTAATTTTAGACTTCTCTCCATGGTATCTACATACTACTGCCGTTACTGCTGCTACTGGTTCTGCGACTACAACTGCTGTTCATGGTGTACGGCTACTACTGCCGCTAATGCTGTCGCTACGATGGCTGCTATTACCGCCACTCGTGTGATAGCAATGGTGCCGCCTGCTGTTTCTCCTCCCCCCAGGTCGCCGCCTGGCTGTTGTGGCTGCACACTAACAAAAAAGCCGAGTATGCCTGGGTGGATCAGATGTGTGTACCGCAGGTGCGATCTGTAGGGAAATTGATGCAGTTTTGTACTTTGCCGAGCCCTCTTAGGCCTTGTGACTTGTAACTCTTGGGAAGACGGGCGTACGGTTTTTAGGAGGTCGGCTGAAGAGCGCTACGAGCGGGGGAATTCCGCGTCATCAGCACAACAAAGGATAAGTAACCAATAGATAACATGATTCCTAAGGTTGCTGCTGCTGTCGGTTCCAATCGTCCCTCTTGGTCAGGATGCCGATCTGGAGGAGAAGATGACTCACATCAAGGACAGCCCCTCCATCTACGCAGCAGGACACGTAAGTATGGTAGAAGGGGAAGAAGAGACCCCCGGGTGAGGTGTACCCTCCTCTTTCTCCCGACCTAGCAAAGCAACGCAGCCTTGATTGTGGCCGCCCATCTACGGTCTACCCTTTCCTTAACTACACGCCCCAGCCTACGTGCTTGCTCTCCCCTCCTGCCCCGTCTCTTTTCTGATGACTGTATTGAGCTGTCCGAGTTGGGTTTGCGATTGCGTACCTTTTCGTTTTATTGACCTCTCCTCTCCCTTAATTCTTGAGGGCCCTTTCCCTTTCTCGTTCCATATCAGGTGTATGTGCTTATTGCCCCGGTTGTGGACTACGCGACAGGCAAGATCATGAACGCCAAGGTGGGGTTTCGCGTTGTTGGATCCGCACCGCAGCTTGGATCCTGGTTCCGGATCCGGATGTTGGGGTCTGTCCGGCAGGGAGGCGGAATGTGTGCGTGTACGGCGTTTCTGAGCGTTCGTTCGTACGTGTCTTGCACGGGAAGAACCTCGGAACAGGCGGATTGGCGCTGCGTCCCCTCTTATTTCCTGTGCGGACTGGAACAAAAACGTTGTCGCGCGCTGGCGATTCCTGGTTCTTACTCTTTTGTGTTCGTGGGCTACGTCGTCAGCTGCAATCGCTGCTACTGCCGCAGCAGCTGTTGTACAGTTAGCTATAGTGCTGTGATAACAATGTCGCTACTGCACGATAGTTACCAGTACGACAGCAGTTACTCTTGCTGCTGGTGCTGTAGCTTACCTACCTCACCATCCTCTGATTTGCTCTTCAGCACATGCACTTGGTTGGTTGGTTAGTTAGGGAGTTACAAGCACCAACACCTAATTTATTTAACCTTTTTCTCCTTTCGCCCGGGCTTCCCAAATCTCACAACATTTTTAACCAATGTCATGTCCCTGCACATGCCTGCTTGTCTGTGTCTATTCTAAGTGGGTCTATCTGTATGTCTGTATGTCTATCTATTCGCCTGTCTATCTGTATGTCCGTCTGTCCACCGCTGTTCCAACCTTCCTGATCATCTTATATGCGTTGTTTGTAACCCCAGGAGGCGCATGGCATCGTACAGCAGTACAACGACGAAATGAACTCGTACAGTGAGTGCTTACGTGCATGTACGGATGCATGCCTTTGCGTTTGTGTGTCGGGAGGAGGCCGGGTTAGGGGTGCTGCCTTTTGCTCTGTTTGACGAACAATCCTTCAGCACCTATCTATCTTTTATCTACCTACCTTCTTAGATGGGAGTGAATACATAATCGGGTTGCAGCTGACTGGTTTGGGTCCATCCCTGATTTTTGGAATGTAAGCGCGATGTGGGTCGCTTTTCTTCCGTGTCGTGTTGTAAACTTGATTTAGGTCGCCTTAGATCTGGGTCGAAACTCGATCTGGGTCGAAGTCCAGATTTGGGTCACACGTATCTCGGATCCAAATTACGATTTGGATTGAGCCCAGCTTGGATCTGTCCAACAGGCACACCACACCAGCAGCACAAAAAGAAAGTATCGACAGACAAATGTTGATTGACACTGCCTGCCTGTCGTGCTCCACTTCAGGGGGCGCTCGCTTTCTGAGCCGGTCAGCGGTTAAGGCTCTGTTGGTCAACAACTCGTACATGCGGCGTGTGTGGACCATTCAGGAGGCGGTGGCGGCCAAGAGCCTGTCTGTGTGGCCGCTGAGGGGGGAAGGTACGTACGGGTGCGGGTTTGTGTGTGTATGTATATGTTTACGGAAGGGGGAATGGAAATGATGCAGCGACGGCACGGGTGTGGGAACGGGTCGTGGTGGGTTCTTTTCCTTGCAGTCGACCTGGCGGTGCTTTATCTCCCACCCACGCATCCACCCACCCACTCTTACATACTCGCTACACCAACACGGACTTTTGCTCCCACTTCTTTCTCCCCAGGGAACCTCTACCTCAGCTTTCCCTGTCCCTCCTCGTACGGCAGTTTAATGGCTATCTTTACCATCTCGTCTTAACGGCCCCGTGGGCCCCCCCAAAGCACCCAAAACTTCTTCCGTCCCTCCTCCTCCCACTCTTCCGGTCTATCGCTTGAGGACTAGGTCACCTCTCGTCAAAACACCCCCTCCTGCATCCCACAATTTCCCCGTATTCCCCAGCACCTCCGTTGTATGTTTCCCCTTTACCTCCACGTTCCCTTCATTTCCTACATACCATGCCCATCCCATGAAATGTTATATTCCGATTTTCCCTTTTGATTTCAAGAGTATTCCCTCCCTGCACCCTTGCTCCCTCCCATCCACCCTTTTTGCTCCTCCTCTTGGCCTGAAGGCGAGGTTAACTCGTATCAGAGCATCTATGTGGTGGACTGGCCCGAATTCAACGCCTGGAATAGCCACCCGAAACTGGGACCGCTGTACCTCAAATTCAGTGACGAGGCACTCAGGAGCTTCTACGAGGGAGACTACACCGGCATTATCAAGTGCGTATGCATATACGTTTGTATGACGATATCACTAATGACCCGAGGGCCTGGCTCTGGTAGCCAAGGGGGCCAAGTGGATAGAGCCCCAACGGAAGGATGGGCCGTCCGAAAGGGAAAAGCACTTTCCGAAGATTTCCCCCGGATGGGGGAGAGGAGGGCTAAGCACACCGGGGGGTTGGAACCACCGCAGCGCGGGGGCCCGAAATCCATAGCGGTCCGCGCTGAAGTCCCCCCGGTACACTCTTGCCCTGGCAGCAGCTTCACTCGTTTGTGGTTCGTCTTTCCCCCCGGCACGCAACACAACCTGCTGTAACACCGGGGGGGTACCCTTCCAAAGCTGCCCTGGGTCACACCTGTGGGTCTGTATGTCAGTCTTGAACTCCCTTGGCACTTTGGAAGCCTCCGGGAAAAGGGGTGACTTGGGGGTTTCACACCACCTCCCCTCCCGCTTCTCGCCATTACAACCTGCCGTGCTTCCGCGCTTCTCTTACCACCCTACAACCCTTTTTTGCAACCCCGTAGAACCTTCGGGCGTCGGCAGCTGTTTCTCTCCTTGACTTTGCTGCATATATGTGTTCTTCCTTCAACCGAAACCGATTCCGTCTGTTTGCCTGTCTGTTTGTCAGGGTTCTTCGCGAGCACCCCTCTGACGGCATTGGCTACCTGGCCATGATTAGTAAGGATCTGATGTGGATTACCATGGACCGGAACGGCCTCATCAACGACATCAAGAAGGCGGACAGCCCCGCCAAGAAGGCGTTTGTGCTGCTCAACAATCACCAGGTAACGCATGCGGGCGACAGGAGGGCAGTGGATGAGACCATGGGAGGGGAAGGGGACGGCGGTAGGAAAGAAGTGAGCGAGAATGAGGGGATGAGGGAGAGGATGAGGCCATGGGAGGGGAAGGGGACGAGCAGGAGCGGAAAGGGGAGCGAGGGAAGAGGTGGGGACCCATCAGACTGGTGTGTCTGAGGTCTTGAGCCGTCCACCCCTTCACCTTTTTCGCCTCCCCTTTCCCCACTAAAACTTCACACCTTATGACATGGAAACCCTGGGGGAGGTGCAATTCGTCCGCCTTCGGACTCGCCACTTCCCTCCTGCCAACTGATCCTGATCTGTCGTGCTAACTAGGGATGTAGTTTGGTAATTGGTTGCTGCCTCCATTGCATTGATCTCCATCCCTCTCCTATCCCACCTCCCGAGAGACACACACATACATACATATACTCACAGTGCTGAAGAGTCACGCAGTCCGCAGTGACATTCCGTCGCATCCCAACCTTCCCTTTTGCCACAACCTAATCGGTCCTGGCTTTATCTACCCGCTTATCTCTTTCCCCTTTTAATTCCCCTCGTCGCGCCGCGCTGCCCCCTCTGGCCCCTCTGCTTCTTGCACATGATTCCCCTCACCTAAACCCCGACCCGCGCCCGACTTCTTCTGTACAGATTCAGAGCGCCCGCGCCTTCCTTCCCGAAGACCGCGTGCTGGCCCTGATCCCGCTGGTGGACTACCCGGCGTGGAAGGAGGTGACTAAGGGGGTGCCGGGAAGACACATGGTGCAGGCGTCCGTGGCGTGGGCGTACGGCATCATGGAGGCACAGATGGCCACGTGGAAGTGAGTGGGGTTTTCAGGGCGTGGAGAGGGGTTGTGGGTTTGGGATTTGGGGGTTTATGGGTGGAGGGGGTGGAAAGCAGGGAAGGGGGCCTGGAGCGAGGGGAAGGGAGGGAATCATACGCGCGAGAAAGTGGGAAATGAACTGCCGTTGCCCCTAAGGTCCCAAACTGCCTAATGAGTCCTAAGCGGTGATGTGATCGGCCGTGGTTCCGGAAGTGAAGCCCCAGTGGGATGGGAAGGTAAGGGAGTCCCAGGGAAGGGAGGGAGGGAGGGAGGGAGGAGGAGGACGTGTCGAAAACACACTTGCGGCCTCCAATCACATAATTAATTGATAGGTAGGTAGGCAATTCGCCTTCCCCTCACAGCCCGCGCTCCTCCCCCTTCTTCCAATCCCCCCAGGTGGTCGATCCGGGTGTACAACAGTCCCGAATGTGCAGCTCGCGGATTGGATGTGCTTCAGCCTCGCCGAAACTTGGGGAACAGTACGGCAATGTGGGGGGCTACACCCGACTGGAAGGTGCAGGTGAGGGTGCGCCGACGTGAGAAGGGCGTGTGTGTGTATGTGTGTATGTGTGTATGCGCCATACTAAGGCTGCAGGGGGCTTGGACGGTTGCGAAATAATGTAAAATTGATATGAAGGCATCATAATGCTTTAGGGCAAGGTCCCAAATGGAGGGTTCGGGCGTGTAAAGAGGAAAGTTAGCTGAGTGTTTGTGTGTTTGTGTTTGGATGCGGTATGAATGTTGTTACAGGGTGGTTAACTTCGCCAGCGGCCCCCTTTCCGGGGGCAGTCCCTGCTCTCCCCTGCTAGAGGGGCACCCTAATCCGTCACCCCATCCGACTTCAGAATGTATTCGTTGGGTTCGGCAACTCACCACCAGCATCAAACCAAATCTAGCGGATCAACGGCGCATCAACTTAGTTCCTGGTCAGCTCGCAAGTTGATATTATCACGTCCTACATTGTCCATATGATGGGGGGCCACCTCCCATTTCATCACTCCTCAAACACCCGAGGAGCCGGTAGGCGGATTTGAACTCGGGTCGGCCGGGAGCAGAAGTCAGGCCTTAACCTCTGCCAGCCGCCGCCGCCGCCTGTTAGTATGTTTGTGCATACGGTGCGTGTTGTATGTTTTTTGACTGCGTGCAAGTGTGTGAGTCGTTAAGGGGGGATGGGACTGGGTCAGGATTTCGGGGTGAAGAAACATTCGTCCGCAATACACATGACGCGCTTGACTGTCCACTGTCGCGCTTGGCTGTCCTAATGGTTCTCCTCCGCGTTGGAATCTCACCTGCAGATTCCCACCGAGGGCGGCACCTTGGTGCTCACTCCGTCACCTCCCCACCCCGACCCAACCGTCAACTCCTACCTAGAATCAACCGCCGCAACCCCCTCCCCTGTGGAGTTGCTTGTTGAGGCGGCTCTTGTGATGCCGCATCCCGGCCAGGCCAAGTACTGGGGAGGGGGCCCCTGGACCTCCATCCGTGATGTACTGCAAACCGACGAGGTGTTTCGGTTGTCCGTACAGTGGGGGCTGGAGCCGTGGCGAAACCCGAGTAGGTTGGCAGGGGGTTGGAGGGGAGGTGATGGGTTGGGGGGGGAGAAAGCGGAGGTGGGGGGGAGGGGAATCGGGAGGTATGGGGGACAGACAGTGTGGCCCCACTCCACCGCCATCCCTACTATTCCTTCATCTTCATCCCCCTGCTGCTGCTGCTTCTTTTCCCGCCCTTTGTCTAAACCCCTCTTTCCTCTGGTCCCCTTCCTCCCGCTGGCTTCCCTCCTTTCAGACCTCGGGCTGGACGCGGAGCGGAGCGCAGTTGTGGTGTTGTCCGGAGGGGACCTGCCTAACCCCGTTATGATCATTGCGGGAATCACGGAGGGGGAGGAGGAGCCAACGACTGGCCAGGTACGGAGTGGGGAGAAGCAAGTGGGGTAGGGAGTAGGGGTATGCCTGAAGCGCTATGTTCAACCACCTGGGCGCTCCAAGCAAGCTAGTGATTGTTCGGAGCTCATGACACACGCCCTCCCGGAAGACGATTATAACCAACGCGCGGCTCCATGGCGGGGAGCCCTCGAGTCGTCACAAGACCACACATATAAAACCCATCCAGCATCCAGCCGCCACCTCCCCCTTTACCCGGCGGACGGCCATTCCCACAAGCCCAGCCACGTGCGCCCTAACCACCACCACCACCAGAAACGCCTATATAGGCTCCGGCTGCGGGTCGTGAAACGGCTGAAGAAGGTCTGAAAATAGTCTTTCCTTGGAGCCGGTGGGCGCCAAAACAATCTTGGGGATGACAGTAATTACGCCGACCTGCAGCCGAAGAAATCGATTCGCCAACCTCACCTTTCCCGATCCCTGAACTGCGAAACCCCAACAGCTTGCCCTCGTAACCAAACCTACCAATGCACCTAACCACCTCCCAACTACTCCCCATTCCCACCCCCTGAAACCCCCAACATCAGGTGATGGAGGTGGTTGAGGTGAGCTCCCATCTGCTCAGCGCCGTCCTTGAGGGCCTGAGGGCGGTGGCTCTGGGCACCCTCACCTCCCCCCTCACCCTCAGCAGCAAGGGGGTGCTACCGCCGCCACCGGAGCCCCCCACAGAGCCCTCCACCCTGGGGGCGCCTTGGCAGCTGGTACTGCCGCCTTCGCCTGGCGCGACGGCTGCAGCAGCTGCGGGTGATGCTGGTGCCGTGGGGGATGCCGCTGCAGAGGAGATGGTGGTGGTGGCGGAGCCGACAGTAGCAGAGGTGGCGGAGGCGACGGCGACGGAGGTATCGGCGGAAGTGACGGGGCAGGCGGCTGCGCCGGCGGTGGTAATGGAGGAGAAGGTGGAGGAGCCGGCAGAACAGGCGGCGGAAGGAGACGTAGAGAAGGAAGAGAAGGTGCCCTTTGCCGCGGAGGGGAAGGCTGAGGCGCCGTCACCGTCGCCAGCACGCGGCGTCTCTGCCCGGGCACAGTTGCTGTCGGCTGCTGCAAAGGCGCCGTCGTCGGAGCGTGCTGTCCCCACTGGAGGTGCTGCCGCTGCCGCTGCTGGGGGCAGTGGTGCTGGTGGCGTGGGAGGGGAGGTGGAGACGGAGGCGGAGGAGGCCGTTCCTGCACCCCCTGCAGGTGCTTACATTCAGAAGGGCGAGATGGTGCCTGGGCTGCCGTACAGCGGGGTGGAAGTGGCGGCAGGGGCGGAGTATGCGGGACAGGCACCGGTAGCTCAAGGTGGGGCGGCGGGGCCGTGCAAGGAATGTATCTTGATGTGAGATGTGGGGTGTGCTTCGTATGAGATGGGGTGATGTCATGAATTTGGATTTGGATTTGGCGGGGGAAGTTCCACGGGAGCTGCCCACCGGCAGCTGTCCACGGTGGAATAAAAGCATTTCCTAACCGACTTCCTACCAGCTACTGGCAACCCTTACTTGAGGCAACAAGGTAGTACTAGTCCAAACCCGAGAAGCGACAAACGCTGTCGGTGCCGGGGAGTGCGGTTAGTTTCCATGAAAGACTTGGTTTGTCGCCAGGCCATTAATCTAATAGCACTTTGCCAGGCGAGTTTTGAGTGATTTGGAAAGCTCTCTTATGATTCCATGCCGGAACGAGTGGATTCTGGGCAGGATATCTGGATATCTGGGCAGGCTTACGTTCCACACCGCGCTGCATGAAGCGTTGAGGAAATGTATGGTGGTGGTGATGGCGATAGATACCCTTGGCCGGTGCATATGTGTATATATGTGTGTTCACTTCAAAGCTCACATTCATTCGCAGCGTTACGTTCTGCTGTGTACATCATTCCTGTGCAACTTGCACCAAGGTATGGAAGCAAGACCGCACCCTCTGGAAGTCGTGACCACGTGCTGAATCCGCACTGTGTCAAAACAGCGTGTCGTACTCTCCCCGTACACGATCAGACTTGGAAGCAGCGAAGCGCCCCACCATTCTAGGCCGGACGGCCATAGCCGCCGCTGCCGCCTCTACAGCCGTGGTGGTGTTTACAATGGCCATAGTAGAATGGGTGTCTATGACGAGGGATCGGTCGCGTGCGACGTTACGTACGTTACATCGCATTATTATGCAACGCCACCTCGTCTCCCTTACTGACCTGGTTCATGTATCTTTGGTGCTATGCGCTTTCGGCTTCCGTGTGCCATGCTTCCAAATACATGTCACCATCGTTTGCCGCACGTGTATAAGTTATTTCTGAACTACGAGTGAGTGACACATCGGTACGACGGGAAATATGATGGAATATTTTTGGTATTGTGTTTGGGTGGAGTGCTTGATTGGTCTGCACAGGCTGGCTTATGTATACGTATGCCATGAGGGATCCTGTTGCACCTAATCGCTGTGCGTGAATTATATCGACCTATCGGATACATTCGACATTTTTGTCCTCCTCCACTCTCAATTCATAACTATTGGCTGCAGGAGGAACACATTTGGTGACGCATGGTGCGCATGTGATTTCCTTGTGCCGATGCCCCTTTGGTGACCTCGCGGGGAAGGGTGGACACGTGGGGGTTGGACACCCCTAATGGAAAGTCGGAGTGTGCGGGCAATGAACAATAGCTTCCCTCTCCTTTCTTTAATTGTATTACAAATTTGAGGACTACCATCAACAGCACATCGACGTAAGACCTAATTGCGTTCCTGCAGCTCGTTCATCAAAAATCCCTGTCGATAACTAATCTGCCACTCTCCTCATTCCCCCCTCAACCGACGTCAGGCCCTCTACGGTTTCTTCCTCTCCGCTTTCACACTGTACCTGCACATAACGGATAAAACGGATCATGTCATAGAATCCCATCCCCCGGAGCCATACGCTCTTCATTTCGTCAGCAGCAACGAACAATGACCGTCACAAGCTAGAACAAGACCGTTACAACCTAAAACTACCACCCGTAAAACGAAGTTCCCCGCTGCCCAGCTGTCAGAACGCGCGTCGTGCTGTGCACCGCACGACACAACGAGCACGCTGAGGATTGTGGCCCCAGACCTGGGGTTGCCCTGGCCCTCGCACACACAGCAAGTTACTGGTACACACATGATAAGGGCACATCTGTGCGTGCATGCAGCCGCCATGCGAATTGCATTGCGCGGATTTTACCCCTTTAAACTCGGCATAATGTGGCATAGCCTTGCACATATGAAATCAAATCTAGTCCACTTATGTACACCTCTACACCTGAAGACTCTCTGCACACTCCAAACGCCATAACAAAGCATTTGGTGCCTTGACGTGACACAATGCTACTATCATTGCAAAAAAGAAAACAATGCAAACGTATAAAAGGTACATGACGCGCACCAGGGCACCCTTCAAACGTCCAGAGCCCATACGCCCTTCCTCTCCGCACCCAAGAGCGCCTTCATTGCTGCAGCCCTTGCTCGCCCTCCGCCTCCCTTTTAGAGCCGTTCCTCATTATATTCGAGGCCATAATCCTGTTTTGCAATCCTAATTGCCAAATTACGCATCATGACATCATGAGAAACAAGTTCGCAACCCAGCCGGGCATTAGTTCCGCTTCACTGCCGGAGATGAGCACCTCTAGCCGGAAAAAAGATATGGAGTTCAAACTGAGGGGAAGAAAAAAAAAACCGGGAGCAGATCAGTTCAAGTCAGTTCAGTCAGGGGGCACCTCGCATCCATCAAACAGCCAACCATGGCCAAGGGTCCCCAACCTGCTCCCCTTCCTCCGCCGCCGCCTCCTGCCAACCCTCCTCAAGTGACATTCACGTACATCTCTACATACAGACCCACATCTCCATCGTGTGGCCGACCGTCATCAGTACACCGCCGTCAAACCCGCAGCACACACCCTGCGAGGAAACGACCCTAAGCGGCTACATCCACTGTATACCGTCAGCATTTATGTTACCAAACATGTAGCAAGCCGTATCAAACGCGTAACAAATACGACAGCACGTAGCGAGTTTTCCTGCAAAGTTTCTACTCATATCTCAACAACACGAACACCACTTGCGACAAGCAAGCACGACCCACCCACCCACCGAAACTCGTTTTTCCACACGCACCAACGAATTCACGTCCTGCTATTCAGCTCCTCATGCCCTTTCAGCAAAGCCTACACCAGCTAGTACTCAGTAGCACCAGAATGCTCGGGCCCGCGCCTCTGTCTGCCTGCCTGCCTGCTCGCCTGCGAACCAATATGTGTCGTGTGTGACCTCTCATCCCGTTATTGCAATTAGCTTTAGGGCACCTCCATCCCCTGCACCATTACGTTTCCCCACCGCCCTTTCGGCCCCGACCTTTTTCCTACCAACCCCCCGCCACTTTCCTGATCCTCACGTCACCTGGAAGTAACCGCCCCGAGCTTTCAGGTCCCCCTCCTCCGTCGTTACCCACCAGCCTACCACCGCATCTCTGCACTGCACCTCCGAGCTGCGAGCACCGGAACTGACCATACCGACATGACCTTCTCTAGCCGCCGCAACTTCTCTACCATCCCTTTGGAAATCAGGGCAACCATCCATTTGTCGGGGCATGCACCACCACCACAGCCTATCCGCCCACCAGTTCCCTACCCACAAAGTCGAGCTCCACCTGCTCTATCAGGGGCTCGGGATCCCCACCCGCCGCCCGCAGCGCCTCCGCCAGCAGCGATACCTTGGTGCTTTCCTGCCCGAGGCACAGCAGCAGCTCATCCATCTCTACCCTCAAGGCCCCCGCAGAACACTCTGCCTCGCCCTCAACTTGTTGCACTCCACTTGGCCAATCCTCCCTATCAGCAGCATGACAGCAGCGATCGTGCTTGAGATTTTGCTGTTCCAGCGCCTCTCGATGCTCCCGCTTTAACTGCACCATTAGCAAACTATGTTGCTCACGTTCCTGCTCCAGGCGCTGCGCCAACAACTGCCGCTGTGCACGCTCCTGCTCCAATTCATGCTCCACAGCTCCCCGCTGCTGCCGCTCCCGCTGCAGCTGCCGAGCCAGCGCCGCCTTGCCGGACTCCACCTCGCTGCAGCGCCGCTCAAGCACTACCTGCTTGGCCACCACAGCAGCCACCAGCTTCCCCAGGGCCGAGTAGTCCGCCATTATGCTACCGACCTGCTCCTGCACCCGTGCCCAGTCCGCACGCATCTGCCTGAGGAGCGCCTTGCAGCGCGAGCCACCACCGGCAGCAGCACGTGAGGGCGATCCCTTGTAAAGGGCCACTGCCGGCTGCTGCTGCTGCCCAGTCCGCACTTCACCGGCGCTCATCACTGCAGGCGACACATCATCTGCACCACAATCATATGGTGGTATGGCCAATGCTAGTGGCGCGGCGACGTCCCGATGGACACTAGCTGCAGCGCCAGCGGCGGAAATAGCAGGAGAGCAGAGAGACCCCGAAGCTGCAACGCTAGCTTCTGGTTGTAACTCTGCATCCCCACAAGGTGCTTTTACAGCTGGGGCCGTAGTAGGCCGGCTGGCGGCAGCGTTGACACTGGATGGCGGCGTGGGCAACAGGCCGAGGCTAGCTAGTTTTTCCGCTGCTTGCGCCAAGGACGCGCCAAGGGTTCCAGCAGCCGGCGGTGAACAGCGCTGCGAACCCCCTGGACCCGCCCCAGCGTTGCAATCCACTGCGTTGCTATCGTTACTGGCCCTGCTGCCGCCGGCGCTGCCCTTGTGGACCTTGGAAGCCGACGTTGCGTTTGCGTGCTTTCCAGGCTTGGCCCTCGCGGTCAGCAGAGCGCCGCTGAGCTGCTTTAGCAGCTGTACAGCCGAGTCCACCGCCGTCAGATCCATAACGACCCCCTTCGCCGTACTGGCGGCGACGCCACCGCATTGCGGCACCACCACACGACTATGCGAGCCGCCGCAGGGGGCCTTGGGATCTCGCCTATTACCTTTACGATCTATACTGTTTCCATCTGATTTCTGCAACGACGGCGAAAGCGAGCTGCCATGGCGGATGTCAGTGGCGAGGTCAGGGTTCAGCTGTAGCTGCTGCTGCTGTTCCTGTTGCTTGGCGAGGTTGGTTATTGCAATTGCCGAAAATCCTTGAGCGGCGGCGTGGGACTCCGCCATCGCGTCAGCCGGGGCCGCAGGTGCCTTGACGAGAGTATGGCCGCCGGAGCAGCACTCCAACGGCAACAACGACCCGGGTACACAGGGGGTGTCGGAGCTGCCACCTTTTCCCCAGCTGCAACTAGCCCAACGGCAAGCAACAGCATTCGCGCAATCCGTGACGCCACTGGCTGCTGTTGATGATGATAATGATTTGGCAAAGACGAAGGGCGCGAAGCTAAACGAAGGATCATCGTCATGGACATCATCAGAGCGCCCCTGCCTCTGTCCTTGTCCTCGCGTTGCCTGCTGCAACTGGTGCTGCTGCTGGTCCTGCAGCGGTGGCAAGACGTCACCTAGGCCGAGGTGGGAGCTTTCTAACCGATCACCTGCATGAGCTGCTGCGCGGTCCCGCTCTCCTTTGCTGAGCACTACTAGCAAATCCGGGTCCTTCTCCACCGATTCAGGTTCCGGAAGCGAGTCCGCACCGGGATGCACCAGATCCGCAAACGACAATGCCAGGGAGGAGCTGCGGCTCAGCACCGCACCACCCTCGGAGACCGAAAGCCCGCCAAAATCCTGAAACCCCACGGCATCGGCTGCTGCGTCGGATCCTAACATAACAGGGCCATCGCGGCCGAGTGCAGCAGGAAGGTTCTCGAGGTTGTGTAGCGTACAGCTGCTGTTCCACCCCGCTGCTGCCTGCCCACCCGATGGTTGCGGTGAAGGTGATACTTCCAGCCGCGCGGCCCCAGCTATGCTCTGCTCTTGGCATTGACCGGCTGCGAGGACGGCGGAGTCAACGGTGCACAATATGGACACCGAGCTGGCGGTAGCGTCATCGCAATAACCGCGGGCTGCGGCCTTGGTGCCTTCCGCATCCAAAGTTTGGGACAGCTGCAGCAGCTTGGTTCCGCAGGACGGCAGTTGCGGTGCTATTTTGTACGGCTGATGACTTGCTGCCTCGGTTTCCGTTCGGGAGAAGGGTGAAGCTAGTGCCATGAAGACGTGAAGATCGGTATCATCGTCAGCACCTTGTGAAGGCGAGGACGCGGTGTCTTCTGTGCTGCCGCAGGCACTCCCCGCTCGGCTACTGTTAGCACTACTGCTCGTGCTGCTGCTAGTGCTACTGTCCTCCAGTGCGGCATGAGCGCCATTCGACAGCGACAGCCCGCTGCTGCTGCTGCGCGCTGAGGGGGAGCTGCTGCTGTCGGCGGAGCTGCACTCGGAGCTGGCGCTGGGTGGTCCCGAGTGCAGAAGGCTGTCATCCTCAGCCTGGTGGTGACGCAGCTGCGGCACGAGCATTCCCATCTGCGGGAACAGACTGTTGGTCACAAGGTGGCCATCTGCGGTCCCCGACACGCGGAGATTTTCCTGAAGTCTGTAACGCTCCGCGACGGTGCGCCTGCGTGAAGTCCATGCAATTCCACGGTCTTGCGTACATATCGAGTACGTACTTTTAAGAATTCATGTGAATCTTCCTTACCTTTTTGACGCGACTTTATCAAGGCCGTGGTTAGTCATGGGCGGAGGCGGAAGCTCAGTCGTCGCCGAGGTAGCGTCCTCCTTCCCGCGCTCCACCCATCGCCTCAGCTGCATAATTGCAGAAGCGTGACCAATCGTGAGTACTAGCGAACAGCACGAGAGAATACAGTTACCTTTCCAGCAACCGACATGCAAAACAGGGGGTAAGCACTCCTAAGCGACAAGACTGCGTAGCTTGTCAGTTCTACCAGACGGTGCAACATAGTAGGACGCTCAACAACAAATACGTGAAGGCATGTCTGTCGCGATGACCTTCGCGCGAACGCAGGGTACTTGAAGGTTGGCCCGCCTCACCCCTTACCTGTGGATGAAAATATAATTTATTTTCTTCTCCAAAGTGGCCCTTTTTACACGGCTTCGTTGCTCCCTGTTAATCGACGCCAACGGGGGTGTCCAAAGGTGTGAGGATTCCAAGGCCGCTTCAACCTTGACCACATAACGACGCATAATCAACTGACCAGAAGAAAACCAGTGACTAGCTTTCCCAGTCCGGAAGGCCCTTGTGCCATAAACGGCTGTTTGTCTGCTGAAGTTACCATGCCGAAGCTTCAATCATACATGTGGACGTTGAACAGTAGTGGTGCTTGCAGCCAACGTGTATCGCCATAGGTTAATTTACGTCAGTAAGTCTGGGCCCCAGGGGTGTCTCGAAATGGTACGGCAACTCGCGCGAAGAGAACGGCTTGCCGAACAGAAGGATGGGTGCAGGAGGATAGCGCTGCAGCTTTGCGTGATATTATTACTGAGTAAATCTATGTACGAATGGCTCAACGCTTTTCCTTGACTCAATACAGGTTCCTGCAAGGCGTCCTAGCTTTCGTAGAAGCTGCCGCGTCTCACAACTGCCAGGGGAAAGGAGCAGTGGCTTCAGGTAGGTTTTCTGGTAGGAAGAATGCCATCAGTCGAGATTTGGTCCCGTGGCTTTGTATCCCAGTTGACATCAACATGTCCGGCGCCCCTTCGATAGTGCCGGGGCGGTCAATCGTAAGCAAGGAGCTGAGTTCTCCAAATGTGAACTATTGGTTAAGTTTTACACATATCGAGTGCGTCGGTTTATCGCAGGGACTTTCACGACAACATCGAGCTATTTAGCAACTGCACAGCACAGCGGCTCTTGGCGAACCTCAGCGCTCCGCTAGAAGCACCGGAAGCACCGCTAGCCCTCGTCTTCCCCTCTTTCCACTTCGTTGCTCCCGATGCTTCCACACACCCGCACACAAAGCAAAGCACCAGCGCTATGCGGCTTTTTGAACGCGACAGCGTGAACGCGACCATAAAACACGCACGCGGGCAACCCCCCCTGCCATAAAGGAGTTGTCCTCCCTGCCGCGCTGTCCTTCCATTCGGTGAAGGCCCCCCATAGTGGTTGTCCCCCACATGTCCCACTCTACCTTGGAAGGAATCCAGCAGTACATCTGCACACAGTCTGCAACAGCAGCTTGCGATGCAGACGGGGGGCCCCTTTCCGAAAGGTTGAAGGGCAAGAAAGCAAAGTAACGTTCCATGCTTCGTTCCACCTGGCCCAGCCTCCTGCCGTATACCCCGGCACGTGGATCACGGGCTAGACTGTGTTGCAGCCCTCTAGAGTTTCCACCACCCATACACACACGCTCACTACTGCCTTGTTCTCTTTTCTCCCCACGGTATCGCTCGGGGGCTGCCTCGGCCCTGCTGCCAGATAACCAAAACCCGCGTTTCGTCCCCATTCAAATATGCCTTCCTCTTTTCTTTACAGTACATTCCGTACTGTCGTACAATAATTGCCGAGCGACAGTTATACGGAATGCGAGTGTTATGCAGCTGCAGGGAATTCTCATACGATGAACTTGCGTATTTGATGCACGTGACAGGACGTCACTGTTGTACGACAAATGCACGACAATAACTCCGGAAAGAAGTTATAAGTGCCAGGCAAGGCCTGATGAGAGATGCACAAAGACTTGACCATCCTGCCGCTAAAGTCCTTAAGAGTCACACGACGACACACCTATATTCACCACCACCACGAGTATTTAATAACTACACTCAGCGGAAAGCACCACCACCATCTGTCCCCAACCCCCGACATACATACAGACGGACTTAGGTGGAGCGACCAATCGACAGACGTCCAAACAAACCGACAGCAACTTTCAACCAGCGACATATGAATGAGGGAACGGCCTTGAGAGAGCCAACAAGAAAATATTACGGCGGGCGTTACAAGCACAAAAGCAGGCTAACTTGAGATCCATATCGCGTTGCTTATTTAGGCAACAGAGGGCCAGAGGGTCGGCATTTGTACACGTGTGGAGGAAGCAGCGAGGGGACGGAGGACTGAGGACGGGTGCGATCCAGGGGATGATGACGAAGCAAAGAACAAAAAAATACCGCAAAAGGCTAGAAGGGCGGGGAAAAAAGAAAAAAGGAAGATGAAACGTTAGTCTCATACATTCCAACATGCGAACAGGTCGGGCGGGGGAGCGGGACTGCATCTAATGAGACGAAGATTGCGATCCATTCACTTTTCCATTCACCACCATCGTCTTATCGTCGACATCACCATCATCATCATCAGCAGCAGCAGCAGCAGCAGCTGAGGGAGTTCTGGCAGTATTGGCCGCGGAAGAGGCCGCAAACGGCAGGTAACGGAATCTTCCTGTACTGTGTGACCACCGGTATAGCGTACGGTAAAACAGCTAACCACCAACGAACGTAAAAAGGCATTTTACGGTGTCGTTTGACTATGGATGCACCACGCTCTGCACGACGCATTCGCACATGCATGCATTTTAACATTCTCCTCATCATCATCAAATCATCAACAAACCGCTGCCACATGACTCCTGGTGCTTGGCGCCCATCCACTGTGCCTAGCAGTGCGCTGTGCTGCTGAAGTCGCCCGGCCGTCGCCTCAGTCGCCAACCCCCGCGGTCACCCCAACCATCATCTCCACAGGTCTATCTGTACCTGCCACGACGCTTACGCCTAATTCGAGATGCAATGTGATGCTGCGCGCTCCCAACTGACTGAGACATCGCACTCCCCAGGAGGAGGAGAAGAAGAAGAAGAACGCTACCATCCTGCAAACCAGTCGCCTACCAGCCTTCTAGAGAAACAGCGCTACTATCCATTTAGCTAAGCGACCCACAACGAGCCACAGCGCCTGTCAGATGCGGGACGACATATACATGAAACCTTAGACATCGGTAGCTGGGTCAGCTTGCGCCAAGTCGGCAACTGGCGCAACTGGAAGTTGCTCCTGTTGCTCTTCGGGACCAGCAGGGGGATGGGGAGGGGGAGGAGAGGCTGCAGGGCTTTTTGACCGTCGCAGCCGCTTCAGGAGGATGATCCAGGTAGCGCCCGCGAGGGCGACGACAACTGGCACAATCCGCGCTGCATTTTTGTAGCCATGCAACTGCCGCTGCAAGCTATCCACTTGTTGCCGCGCAGATTTGAGCTCAGTGCGCAGCGCCTCAATTTTTTTGCGATGCGACTTTTGGTAGTTGATTATGGTCTTGGTGCACTGCACGGGTCCATCGGGTCGGTCAGTCCCAGTCTGACGGAATAAAGCTTCCCGGGCTTGGGAAGCTGTGTGCAAACGGTTAGCATTATAGCTCTTTGCTCCTGTGGCAGTACCTGGGACTTGACAAGTTCGCAGCGTGGGCATGGTGGCGGCGCGGCACTCTGCCGAGGAAGCAGGTCTGGGTCCTTTGGCCCTGGCGAATCCGGTTTGGCACCACCGAAATTCATGGCGATTTAGTTGGAGCTTTCAAAAGTTTACTATTAGTCTCGCTTGTAATCGGCAACCGACATCTGATGTCGAGAGGGCTACGCGTGTTTGCAAAGCGGGCCAAGCCTCCGTGTTGTTTTTAAAAGACAGGAGGTAAACGATTGTACAACTAGCGTCATCGAACCAAATGCAAAAGTGTAACAGAAACCGGAAGAGCCTTGTACGACCAGCCGTTACGACTGGGTGATCATGTTCACGAGTTACAGTTGCATGTGGTCGCAAAGTGGTTACAAGCACGGCTTAGAATACAAGCATCTCGCGTGAAACTCGGCTCAGGGCAAGCCCAGAAGTACATCAGAAGTATCAGGACACGTCTTCCGGCACTGCCTCGTTTTCAGAGGCAACGGCTGGCTGAGTCACATTCATGTAAGCCTTGTTCAACCGTCATACCCCATCCTCTTCAATACAAAAACAACAAAGCCAGGATCACTGCAAGCCCTTCATCGGAAACATTGATATACACTATATGTGCTTCAGCTTTACGCGTTTCCGAACTGTTTAGATCGAACACCGACAGGATACTGGTGATAAGACCACTTATGCGCGATAACTTTGGCGAGGACTACGTAAGAGAATATTAAACAACCCCAGCCACCCGCAGCCGCCATCTCCTAAGTTTTGTTTCACCGCTTACCACTAGCACCAGTAAACCCGCCCGCGCCCTGCGCCACATTCGCACCCAGCCCGAGCGGGTGCAACCTGGGCGCGTGGTATCATTGTCTAGCCCCTATCATTCATCGTTCATCTCATTCTCCGAAGTCATGGCACACCAAGCTCTTTGGAGAATATGATTTCTCAGATAATTAAACTCAAAGATACAGCCGGAATCCGACTTCCGAAAATTTCCAGACACGCAGGCCCCCCCAACAGCCCCGACATACAGAAAAACAACTTGAAGGCCAGTTGCGGATCATGCCGACGGTGCCGTCCAAGCCTAGGGGTAGGGCGGCTGCCAGGACCTCGGCCCAGCCGGCAGGATGCAGGTGGTCGTGGTCGGGGCAGAGCAGGAAGTCAAGGACGACGAAAACCGCCACGATGCCCCCCCCCTCCCCTTTCCCCGTCCCCCTCCCCTTCCCCGTCCCCCTCCCCTTCCCCTCCCCTTCCCCGTCCCCCTCCCCTTCCCCGTCCCCCTCCCCTTCCCCGTCCCCCTCCCCTTCCCCGTCCCCCTCCCCTTCCCCGTCCCCCACCCCTTCCCCGTCCCCCTCCCCTTCCCCGACCCCCTCCCCTTCCCCGTCCCCCTCCCCTTCCCCGTCCCCCTCCCCCTGATATCAGCATCACTCGCCTGTAGTTCTTCTCCTCCACACACCTTCCCCTCGTCCGCTTCCAACATCCCCTTATCCTCCCCCTGCCCTCCACAAGGGCAGGGGATTAGTCTTTTGGAGCGTCCTCTTGGAGCGCTGAATGGGGAGGAAGGGGGAAGGAAACGCGCACGAGAGGGGGGGGGAGGGGAAATGCTTAAGGCGCCTCTCCCCCACGCCCCTCTAAGCACACGTACCCCGTCCCAGCCTAACAATTAGCCTCATACAACACCACGTGTTTCCCCCTCACTATCCGTCCGTCCGTGCGTTAAGTGGCCATCTTCCCCCTCCCCTTTCTTGGACAGGAGGGACTGGGAGGGAAAGTCCTATCTTGAGTTGGCGATGTTTTCCAGTTCCTCTCGAATGCTCCTAATACTCTGCCTCCCCCCAATTAATTGGGCGGGTGGTTGCAGGGGTGTTAAGACCTTGCATGGGTAGGCGTGGAAAGGCCCGAGCCGTTGTACAACTCAGGATACTGCGATGCAAAACTCCCCAAGCCTAGCCTGACTGTGGGTTCCTGGGGATGGACTTTCCTTGCAACCCCCAATCCCTCAGTACTATTGCACGCGATGCCGGCCAACACCTCGCTAGCGGCCTAAAGGAGGGATACTAGTTTCGCAGTGCAGAGGGTTTCTTCGCGGAGGCTGCTGAGGAGTTGTGCTGCGCAAGAGAGCCCCGTAGTATTCATGCTGCGCACTGGATGTAGATATCGGATATGGACCAGCTCTGTGCCCAGCACTGGCACGCATTGCACCTACTGTCACAATCCTTCACGGTGCATTCACCGCGGAATCTGAAAATTTGGGTAACCATTCCCCCCTTGTTCATGGCACTGCGGGAAGGGGATTCTTGTACAAAGCAACATTATCCTTTAAACAGGAACCACTATCCAAAGCCCTAGGCCCCGCTCCTTGGTTCCCATTGTTGAGTGCTTGTAGCCCGCGGGCTGTTGACAACCAAGGAAGGGGATGCACACAAACCAAACTCACAGCCCCACATGCAATACTGAACACAGACAATAATGGAATTCTGTAGCAACCCTTCTTTGTGCTAAGCATGTTTTATGTCTCGTAACGCAGCTCATCCGAGCTATAACGACATCCTACACTCTCGCAAGCACAGTTCTATAAGACTTGAAAGACATCCAACAGTATTACTTTCTGTAATTTCCGTGCGCTCTCAAATGTTACGCGCGTGCTAGCAAGCCATCCACGAAGGACGGCATTAAGTATAGCAGTTAGCAGGAAAATGCAACATCTAGACTTGTGACGTTTATCTTAAGTCGGTACCCCTTTACAGGAGGACTAAGATTGCAAAGCAAAATGCCTCTACGCCTCGCCTGAGATAGTAACATGCAAATGATAATAGCGAAAGGATTTGTATCTCAAAGCCATACATCAAAGACAGAGAGGTGGCCTGTAAATGCTTAAAGCATTTGTCTGAGGAAGCTCGCACAGGGCCCATCTGGTCGATCTCGATCCGAGCGAAACCGCAGTAAAGCCCCGCCCCGACTGCAAGAGTTGTGCGTACTGGCGTAGCATTTCATTCCTGTCACCTGCCACTTACTGCAGCAAAGATGGCCGTCATGATGCGCACCCAGGCGCCTGTTGCCTCCCGCGTGTCTGCATCGCGGGTCGTCGTCGCCGCTCGCCCGGCTCGTCGCTGCGTAGTGGTCCGCGCCGAGGAGGCTGCTACGGCTGCTGCTGAGAAGCCGGTCTGGACCCCACCGACGCTGAACCCTGACACTCCCAGCCCCATCTTCGGTGGTAGCACCGGCGGTCTGCTTCGCAAGGCGCAGCAGGAGGAGTTCTACGTCATTACCTGGGACTCCAAGAAGGAGCAGATCTTCGAGATGCCGACTGGCGGTGCTGCTATCATGCGCCAGGGCCCCAACCTGCTCAAGTTCGCCAAGAAAGAGCAGTGCCTTGCTCTGACGACCCAGCTGCGCACCAAGTTCAAGCTGACCCCGGCGTTCTACCGCGTCTTCCCTGATGGCAAGGTGCAGTACCTGCACCCTGCTGACGGTGTGTACCCGGAGAAGGTCAACGCTGGCCGCGTTGGCGTGAACCAGAACTTCCGCCGCATCGGCCAGAACGTCAACCCCATCAAGGTCAAGTTCTCTGGCCGCATGATGAGCCCGTGCGAGATCTAAACATGTACTTTGATTGCAGCCTGAGAAGAGCTTTTCGTTTTGTAGAGCGGGGTGGTGATGTTGGTTGCTCAGGCATCTAGTTTGCGGCTGCTTGCTTAGGTGCCTTCCTGTTCTAGGTAGCGCATGGTGGATTATTTGAGCAATCACGAATGATTTCTTGGCCATAGGCATGTCGGCGAAGTGCTTCCTTGCAGTTTTGATGCTGGCCTGCTGATTGACAAGGATTTCGTGATTATGGGCACAAGAGCATCTGACGATAAGAGCAGACACGACTAATTCTCGCTAATATGGAATGGCTGACGCCATTTGCATGTAACGTGGCCAGTGAGAAGGACTATTTCCTCTCGTGGGTGCTGGTGAGGGCAGGACTCATCTCGCAGCAGGTGATAGCCTCGAGCTGAGGGTTAAACACCCTGCACTCCATGGGAGAAAATTTGGTTGAGGGGTGCCTGGTCCCTAAGGTACAGGGTATGTAGTGAAGGGTGCACACATTGGGACACCAAGCGCAGCAACTGGTAGAAGATTACAACAAATGACAGAAGTTCAAGAGGAGGAACATAATTCAGGCAGGCAGGAAGGTTGGCTGTTGGACAGTGCGTACCTGCCACCGCAAGATTACATCCAACAACTTGTGTAGATGTCAACTGATGTCAGGAACTCCCTTTGGGGATTTCATACCAAAAGTTAGGCCCGATGTGCAAAATCCCTTATTTTAGTGCGTAATGCCCACCACCATAGGCGCGATGTCCCGACACCCCATAGGTGCAATGTGCTCAACCCCCCCATCAAGTGCGATGTGCCCTCACTCCATACTCGTGAGTGCTTTTACCCACCATCTCCCGAAAAGCTAATTTATCCCTTCCGATAACTGCCTGCTAATGTGTTCAACGCACGTTTTTCACAAACCCGTGGCGCGCGTGCGTGGTCATGACGACGTCCATCATACAGTCCTTAAATGAAATAGATTGACTCTGAGCAAAGGCCAAGCATTTGTTGATAGATATGTTTCTCAGTCCTATGGATGGAAGGGTTGCCTAACCGCGTGGGGCCCTAAACTAGCACAGCGACCAACGGGACCGACCCCATGGAGTTGCTTCGTTGGGGAACCCTCGCAGGATGTATGGTGCGCGACAGGTAACACATGCATGTATTTCCCCTGCATTAGCATTTTCCTTTAGTATTTGCATACTGATGGAACGTTGCTGCCAGGCCATTCGTGCGGCCACAAATGCGATGCATGGACGAGAAGGTTGATACCACTTTGCAATAGTATAACAATAATCATAACATCGTAAGTTTAAGAAATTGAATAATCTACGCATAACATAGTGAATAAACAGCCTTAAGGCCAAACATTGTTGTTGATGAACGCAACTGGCAGTCAGTCAATTGCAAAATCTTCCGAAGGCTTCGCTGGATATAAACAGCTGGGGGCTCCGTGTTCGATGCGGAGCACGGTGCAATTCATGCAGCTAGGCCAGCGCCAGCTCCTGCGCGCGCGTCGCCCATTTGCTTCGCCTCAGAACGCTCGGCGAGCACACGGGCCCTCAACATGCTGCAGCTCTGCGGCAGCGATCTCTCTAAGCACCGCTGTGGAGGTGCAGCCATCAAGCCTCAACGAGCCATCGACCACGGAGAAGGTCGCTCAGCGGTAAGACACTGTCCAGCACGCGGTCTCTATGGAGGGGGTCGAAGTGGCTGTTCGGAATGGGGGATGGGAGAAAGGTGTTGCTGATCGCACGTGCGGGGGGTCGGGGGAAACCTGTTGCAAGAGGACGGGAGAGGGGCTTGACTCTAGGGGCCACGGTCAGATCATCAGATGAGTCATCTGAGATGACACAGCAGCCTCCGCACCTCGTTGCGATTACGGCCATGCTTCCCCCTCCTTTTCGTCCACTACCACCACCACCATCACCACCACCACCGGTTGCTCCTCTCTTCCCGCGCCTCCCACCTCCCCCAAACCCCGCCCAGCCGCCACATATCGACCCCCTCCATCGGTTGGGTCTGGGAAGGGGCCAGATGCCAAACCTGGACCCGCGCCAGACATTAATGATGATGATGTTGTTGTTGTGTGGTGATGAGGTTTATCGGAACTGCACCACACAGGATTGGCGCCTCCCCTCCTCCCCCCCCCCACACTCTTCTCTCGTTCGTGGTTCGTCTTTCCTAACCCCCCCCCACCGCGTTCGCCCTCCCCAATCTCCTCTTCCCTTCCCCCCTCATTCTCCTGCCTTCTTTCCATCTTCTCCGCAACCATATTCCCTCTCGTCCTCGCCGTAATCTCTTGCATTGTGTACGATTTCCCTCCCGAGCCCTTATGGGCCCTATGCGTGTCCGTAACTTTGGTTGATACTTCCACCGCTTCGTTAATTCCGTTAACCGCCTAACCACCTCCTACCTCGTCATCACTCTCATTCCATCTCGGGGGGCGATGGGAGGTGGGAGCTGCTGGTGCGCAGTGGTGGGACTAAGTACGGGCGGGCCTGCCGTACAGGGGAAGTTGTGTGTTTGTGTGTGGGGGGGGTTGGAGATGGAGGTTGAAAAAGGGGGAGGTCTCTGGGTAGGAACCAGGATGATCTGACGCAGATTTATTTGTGAATATGTATCGCGGGGTGATATTTTCACCAAGCTGGAACCCCTAATTGCATGGCGGTGTAATACCGTGTGACATTGAGTGACATGACGCGGTTCCGTACGATACACGACACGGCATGGCGACACGGCACGGCCGCGGTACGGCGCACAGCAGTACGGGAGGGAGGGAGGACGCGGAGGGCGAGAGGCCCCCCGCGCAGTCCCCCCCCCGTCTTGTGCCGCGATAGCTCTTCACGCACTTCACGCACTTCACGCACCCACCTTCACTCGCGCTTCACTCCCCTTGCGTTGGGGCCCTGGTGCGGTGATTCCCAACAGGGGATTTGGGGGGCCTTGGGGGGTTGAGGTGGGGGAGGGGATTTGGGGGGCCTTGGGGGGTGCACCCGCCTGTGCAGCAGCAGTTCGGGCAGTGGATGCGGGGGCACAGGGTCCTTTCCCCTTCCTTTCCCCCCCAACCCACTGCCGTTTGCCATTGAACGCATGGCAACTGGTGTATGTACATACGTAACGAATGTATGTATGTATGTATGTACGTTCATACGTATGTACTTCTTCGTACTCTTATCCCTAGGCCCGTTTGTGGTGTTTGTGGCGTGTTTTGTGGGCACGCTGCGGACGGGAGCGAGATGGCCGCGGGAGGCGAAGGGGGGAAGGGAGAGGGGAGAGGAGTACGGCGGTGGCGGTGCAAGCAGCCCGGGGGGTGGGGGGAGGCTCCGCAGTCCTCCGTGAGATTGGGCGGCTCGTGTGTGTATGTGTGTGGATCCCGGAGTATCTCCCCAAACCCGTGTCGTGTCTGGCATGGATGACATCACCGCCCACATAGTTTCCTCCCACGCTTTCCTCTTCACTCATCATTTCCTTTCTCTCGTCCCATTTCTCGTCCCACTTTGCTTCCCCTCAACCCCCCACCCCCTCACCCCTCCAACCCCTCTTCGCAGCAAGCGCATCCTCTCCGGTGTACAGCCCACTGGGCGGCCCACCTTGGGTAACTACCTGGGGGCTATGAAGAACTGGGTGGCGCTGCAGGAGCAGTACGGTAAGAAGTACGACAGTACAGCAGGGCAGTGGCGGAGGGAAGCCGATTTGTAATATGAGGGGGGGTTAGGGAGTAGGGCCTGCATGGTACGGCAGGCGCACATCGTACATGTGACCGTCTTCTCCTCCCCTACCTATTCCCGCTTACCTGCTTTACCAAGGTGAAAAACCCTGCACGCGGCCCCTCTCTTCTTTTCGCTTGGTGTGTATTTGATCCCTGCCCCTCACCCCGCCCAACCCTGTGAAATACGCACGTGACCACACGCACGTACATTCACGGCCTCGCGCACTCACACATCAACACATACATACGTACAGACAATTTTTTCTGCGTCGTGGACCTGCACGCCATCACCGTCCCTCACGACCCCCGGGAACTCCGAGCCGCCACCCGGTCCATGGCGGCGACATACATAGCGGCGGGTATTGACCCGGACAGGGTGAGGGGGGCAGGGGGGGGATGGACGAGGGGAGGGAAGGGGAGAAGGAGGAGGAGAGGGGGAAGGGAAGGGGGGAGGGAGGAGGAGAGGGGGGAATTAAAGAGACTAATGGAATGTTGACTGGAGGGAGGGGAAGGTGTGGGGGGAAGGGGGGTCACATGTGGTGGTGTGTATCGTGACGTTGGGTTGGGTTAGGGCTTGGGGGAGCGTCGGGGGGAGGCGGGTGACATTGGTGGGGGAAGTGGTGACCATTGAAGGTGCTCAGGAGTGCCGTACATAACCCCCACGTGTATGCGTGTGTAGGNTTGGACCTTTCCCCCCCTCTGCATCTCTTTCCCCCCCCCTCCCCTTTCCCTCCCCTTCTGGATCGGCTTCATTCGCTCGTGGTTCCCCCTCCCGTCCCCGGACTCTCCCTCGCCTTGATCATCCCCCCCCAGGCCACAATATTCGTACAGTCCCACGTACCCGCGCACACGGAGCTGGCCTGGCTGCTGTCCTGCGTGACCCCCGTGGGCTGGCTGGGCAGGATGATCCAGTTCAAGGAGAAATCCAGAAAGCAGGGAGAGGACGTACGTACGGGATTGATGACGTATCCCGTACTCATGGCGGCTGATATCCTGCTCTACCAGGTGCGAGGGTGTGTACGGCGGACGCTGGGGAGGGAGAAGGGTTTGTCATGGAAGTGGCGGTCGTACACTCGTATGATGTGTGGGACAGGGGGGTCATGTCTTTTCACCCTGCGGCAGCTAACCGGCGAAACCCTGCCTTCCCCGCGGGTATTTCGGGGCACCCTCATCCAATCACCCTAGTTAACTTCTCAGTGGATCGCTCAGGTTCCGCACCCACCACCAGCATCCAACGGAATCTGCCGGGTCGACAGCGGCCCAACTCCATTCCTGGTCAGCTCGCGAATCAACTTTATCCCAGGTCACCACCGTCCATTAACTAGGGGCGCAATACCTTGCACCATCGGAGGGATTTTCGACCTTGATAGGTCTCGATCCTGGGATCCCGGGGGCAATGGTCGTGCGTTACCAGTAGTGCCAAACCAAGTAGTATGTCCTGTCTCCGGTGTATGTATGTATGTATGTATGTATGTATGTATGTATGTATGTATGTATGTATGTATGTATGTATGTATGTATGTATGTATGTATGTATGTATGTATGTATGTATGTATGTATGTATGTATGTATGTATGTCCTGCCCCGTATGTATGTCCTGTCTCCGGTGCTTCCGGTGTATTCCTGGTACGTCCCCCTCCTCCCCCTTCTCGCTCGGCTAGCCGGACTAGGATAGTCGGGTCGGTCGGGTCGGTCGCGTGTTGGGGGGTTGGGGGGTTGGGAGGAGCACTTGCATACCGACAGCCTTTCAGTATCAGCAAATCAGCTATTTCTCCAGGCCAGCAACTTTATGCCAGCTTTACGACAGCACTGCTTTACCACTTTTCCGCCGCCTTCACACCTACTTTTCTACACCTACTTCTTTACGGCTTGGCAATACTATTTCTTCTTTTTCAGTTCTGGCGGCGTAGGTAGGTAGTTTTTCCGACATCCTCTTCACTTCGTCATCCCGAGGTCGCGGTCTCCAAGGACGCCTTTCGGTCAGTTCTACGTCTGGTACACTCTTGCCCTGGCAGCAGCTTCAATCGTGTGTGGTTCGTCTTTCCCCCCCTCCCGTCCCCCCCCCCTCTCACGATCTCACGTGTGATCCCTTTCACTTTGTTATCTCCGTACACATACACACATACACACATAGTCACGCGGCGTATATAGTTGGGGCTGTTCTCCGCTCGGGCTTCTGCTGCTGCCTCCACTCCTCTTAGGTTATGAATCCTTGGGGGAACTACGATTTACGTTACGTGGGGCGACGTACACACACATACACACAGATACACACACATACACCTGATTTGCGTTTTCTGTTGTGCGCTGAGTCCCCTCCCCCGCCCCTCCTCCACGCACTTATACACTACGGAACCCCGTTTTGTACAATTATTCCCCTCCCTCCCCCCCTCCCCACTCGCATACACACACACTTCGCCCCCCACCTCACCCCCACTCTCCCCCTCCAGGCAGATTTGGTTCCTGTGGGCGAGGACCAGAAGCAGCATCTGGAACTGACCAGGGACATCGCGGAGAAAGTCAACCTGGAGTTTGGCGGGAAGGTGTGTCTGTCTGGGGAGGGAGGGGGGAGGGGGGAGGGGGATGCAAAGTTTTGTGGGGGGGAGAAAAAAGGGGGGCCGGGTCGGGGGAAGGGAGGGTTTAGTTTGGCTTTTGGGGGGAGCTGCAAATTCAATGAACAAGCAATGCGAGTGAGGGAGGTTTGGACCTGCGTCCTGGTGTGTGTGTGTGTGTGTTTTGGAGGTAGGAGGCGGGGGAAAAATTGAAAATGAGAGTGTGGGGAAGAAAAGGTGGAGGGGAGGGGAGGGGAGGCGGCGCATTGGATGCGTTCGGGTGAAAGAAAAGCTCCTCCACAACCCCCAACCCCCAACCCCCTCTAAGGAAAGCGGGGGGGGGCGAAAGGGGAAATGTGTTTTTCCCGTGGTGCCGGGTTGCGGCGATGGGGCGTACCGAAAACGTGTGGGCTGCCTCTACCCGCTTGTACGACATAGGGGACGTCGTATTGTATTGGCGCGGTACGTCATCAGCGATATCTATGTATCAGACAGTACTGGAACTAAACACACGCCTCCCTAATCCTTCACTCCGAAAGTGAACATTCTACGACAATAAAAAGGCAGGCGCATACCCTATACACGCGCATCATATCCCGCATGCGTATCCCGCCCTTCCCCTCTTTGGGACTCCTGTCGTATTGTGGGTGGTTTGGGGGTTATTTTATTTTCCTGAATTTTTGAAAATTTAAGTCCATTTCTCCCCCCCCCCCCTCCCAAACCCCCTTTCCCCCCTCTTCACCCCCAGGGATGGAAGAAGCGGGGGGGTCGGGGGGGTCGGGTGTTCAAAGTTCCCGAGGTTTTCCTTCCCCCTGCGGGGGCGAGAATTATGTCACTGCAGGTAGGGGGCCGTGTGTGTGTGTATGTGTGTATGTGAGTTTGTACGTTGGAGGAGGGGAGAAAAAGGGATGGGAAAGGGCACGTACTTTCTGTGGGTTCTTTTTGGGTGTGGCGTGTGGGGTGTGTGTGATATGTATGTCTGTAAATTGGTGTGTGTGTTTTATGAACTTTTTTTTTGCGCCTTTCTTCTCCACCCCTCCACTCGACATGTCTATCTCTGGTATCTGCTTCAATCGTCAGTACTTCGTCTTACCCCCCTCCACCTCCCCTCGCCTTCGCAAGATAGTTAGTTAGGTAGGTAACGGTATAAACCCCCAACCGCACGCACATTCTGCACTGACCCCCAACACCCCCGCGCCACCTCCCCCCCAAGGACGGTACGGCAAAGATGAGTAAATCCGCCGAGAACGACAACAGCCGTATCAACCTGACGGATAGCCCCGAGGTTATTGCGGCGAAGGTGGGCAATCGACAGTGACCCGCACGGCGTGACATGACACGGCATGGCACGGTGTTGCGCGTGTGTGTATTGGGGGGATTGGGGTATACGGGTTGGTGGGCGGGGGTGCGGGGCGTGTGTGTGGGGGGGGGAGGGGACGGAGAGAGAGCGAGCAAATTTTCATACGTACGACTCCTGGGTCGGTGGTTTGTAGGGGTAGGGGTAGGGGTTGTGTAAGTGTATGCGTTCCCTCACCTCCCCCTTTTCCCCCTTTTCCCCCCTCCCCCTACTCCTACTGGTCAGTTCTGCTCCTTGACGGCAGCTTCACTCGTTCGTGGTTCGTCTTTCCCCCTCCCCCCTCCCCTCCCCCCTTGCCCCCCTCTCCCCAACAGATCAAGCGCTGTAAGACCGACACCGTGGAGGGGTTGGAGTGGGGGAATACCGACCGGCCCGAGGCAACCAACCTGCTAGCCATCTACAGCTTGTGTACGGGCAAGAGCAAGGTGGGGAGGGTTGTGGAGGGGGAAACGGGGTTTGTACGACGGACCACTGGCGGGTGAAGCAGATAGATATACCCGAGATATAGACGGATATAGTCCAGGAGAGTACGACAAATGCGGCATCGGAAATATATTTACTGTTACTGACCAGTGTTGACTTGGATTACCGGTAGTCTTGGCGGCGACGTGGCCATAGCGGGGGGTTGCGAAACGAGCTACTTACCAAAGCTGCCGAGTTCGAATCCCAACGAAGGCAGAAGGCGAGAAGGAAGCGGGAGCCTAGCTGGTTCGTGGTGCGGCTAGGCAGCTTGCTGGCTGACGTGCATGCAAGGGCCCCTCCCACCCCCCCACCCCCCCACCCCAGCTAACACATACGCCCATGACCCGACCAACCCAACCCAACCCAACCCAGCTAGCCAGCTAGCGCTTACGCCGACGTAGCGAGAAACAACAACCGACTAAGCTCGAACCCCTAGGATTCACCTGGCCAGACGGCACAAGCGGCAGAGGCAGCGGGCACATGCACTTGCAAGACGGAGAGCAAGACAGTTGTTGGTCAGCAGCGGCAAATAAACAAGAAGTACGTATGAAGTGCCGCTGAAGGAGACTAGAGATCTAAATATATGTCGGCCTAGAACAAACAAAGAGATGGAGAGAAGCTGAGCGGAAAAAACTGCTCCAGGAAGGGTGTATGAGCGGTGCAGGACGAGGATGAGGAGGAAGAGCCGTACAAAAGGAACAAAGCGAGAACAACATGCAAACGTCGCAGGCAAGTGCGGCGCCAAGCGGGACCAGGACCACCACAATCAAAATCGTGCCTTGACGTCGAAAGTTCAAAACTGTCGGGGGTTCCTTATATGCATATAATATTGCAATAAAGCCACCGAGTCATGGTTCCCGAAGTAAAACCGCGTTTACATGGCCTCACGCATGTTTGTCGTACCGGCGGGTTTCTAATTGAGGAAAATGATTAAATATTAAATTGCTTTTGACGGCAAGAGTCGATTTGCCGAGACATCTAAAGTACGAACTGTGGTTTTGGGGGTGGGGGTGGGGAGATGTAGAGAATTGGGTTTTGGGGGGAGAGGGGTTTTTCAGTACTTCCTGTACTAGGGATGGAGAGCTTAGAGAGGAGTTGGTTATGTGGTGGTTGTGATTGTGGTTGTAATGGTGGCTGGCGGAAATCAAGTACGACATTGCTTGATTGGCTTGGCGACAGTTGGTGATACTGTATCGTACTTCGTGTTCGCACGATGAGTTCGAATAAACAATCGCCCCCTTCCCCCCAATACACACACGCTGTGGGGCGCCCCTCCCTCTCTTTCCACTTACGCATTCCCGTTTGGACGTTGTACGGCACTTGATTTTCTGCATTGTGTGCATTATATGTTTTTTTGTCCTCCCCCCCGCCTTCCTCCGTCCAATTCACACACGCCCGTCAGGATGAGGTCGTGTCCGAGTGCGCCTCCATGCGGTGGGGCACCTTCAAGCCCCTGCTAGCAGACGCCATCATCGAACATCTGAAACCGCTGCAGGTGTGCGTATGTATGTATGTATGTGGAGGGGGAAAGGCGCGCGTGTGTGTATGTATCTTTGCTTGCGGAGATGGCGCTCCATGGGTTGGGTCGGGTCGGGGGCGAACATGAGCTTGAGACGGGGAGGGAGGGTTGGGGGGTTTGGAGAGGGAAATATCGGATGGGGGGGAAGTGTGATGTGATGTAAGGTAGGGTTGGGCGGGCTATGAGGTGTTTGTTATTCGGAGTCTCAAGATTGTGGGACCCATCTGTAAAAGGCGGGAGGGGGCCCCTCAGGACGGCTCGGGTTCGTTACGGGTAACGACCCAGCACCCAGTCACCGGGTGTTGGACCGCCATCCCCCTCCACCCCACCCCACCCCCACCACAACCCCACCACACTCTTCCGTACACACAGCGTCAGGGCTCCGGATGCGCCCGCCGTTGCTGCAGAACAAACTAAACACCGTCTCATGTGTGTGCGTGTGTGTATGTTTTGCTTCTTGCCGGTGCATCGCAGGTGAAGTACGGCGAGCTGATGTCGGATCAGTCGTACATCGATGCCGTACTGGCCAAGGGCGCGGAGGCGGCATCGGCGACTGCTGACAGGACGTTGGCGGACGTCCGTGACGCGATGGGTTTCGTGGCCCCCTTCCGGGCCCCCCGGTCCTAAGGGGGGGAGAGAGGGGAGTAGAGACAGTTGGTGGTTGCTAATCTGTTAGTGGTGTTGTTGTGGTCGTTATGATGTGATCGTTATGATATGGGTCTTGGTGCTGGCAAGGGTGGTGAGGGAGGGCATGACGTGACGTGACAGCAAAATCGTGGCAGTGACGTGGCAAGCTTCCCCCCCTTTCCCGCCTAAATGTCACCAGCCCTCGAGAACCCTGGGCCCTCAGACAGGCGACGCGGGGGGTAGCAATTAACCCCAAAGACAAGGACGTGCGTGGCCGTGGCTGCAGTTTTTTGTGTTTCGTTCGCTTCTCGGTTCTTGTTCGGGTCGGAGGCGGGTTGTGGGGTTGCGCGGGGGAGGGGAGCGGGGATGCTGAGGCACGTATGAAGTGCTGTTATGTAACAAGGTGCGGCTTAACGCGTTCGGAGTGAGGATTGCAGTTGTGGGGAGTTGGAATGGGAGTTGGAGCGGGACTGTAGGCAGGCTGTTATGGCGAGGAGTGAGTGCCGTGCGTGTATGCGTGTGTTTTTAGTTTTATGTTTGGAGGGGAGTCGAAGGGAACGAGGGAGAGAGGGAGCCCTGGAGGAAGGCGTGTGGTGGTAGTGATGGTGACGGTGATAGGAGGGATATGAGGGAGGGTTTGTTTTATGAAGAGAGGTGGAGGGGAGAGAGGGGAGAGGGAGAGGGGGAGGGTTTAGATTGGTGTGGTGGAAAATAGTGAGGGGTGTGGCTGGCGTTGGTAGGCAGAAGGGAGGGGGAGGAGGAGGAGCGATGGGAAGGGAAGGAAGGGAAGGGTGTTGGAGCTTGGTCCATTCCAAGCGCCAGTGTTGCCAATTTGGCAATGCTTTGGATTCTCAACGAGTTAGTGGTGCAATATTGCATGTTTTGTTCGAATAGAGAGTTTTCGGAGCATGGATGTGTGTACCGAGGTCTCTGTAAAGCCTGGAGCAATGAAGTGGTTTGCGATGTTAGTGAAGATTTCAAGGGCGAAGAGAGGTTGTCCTTGCTGTGAAAGTGCGATCTACAAAATCTACGCATGTCAAGGAGGGAGACGAAGCCCGTCCTGGATCAGAGGTCGGCAGGGGATATGGGTGCACCGCGCATCAAGGAGCTCAGCTCTGACAGACTTTCAGCGGGCCAAACAGGACTTCGCTTTATGGTATGTGCTGGGCAGCCAAGACGTTTCCCATCAGATAAAATGCAGTTAGCCAGCACAGCAATCACGACTGTTTGCTTCATAATTATTGCTGCGGCGGCACCAGTTACAGAACGTAAGGAGTTTAAATGTGCTCATAGGAATGTATGCTCACAGGAACGGGAGTGCATAGCTGTGTGAAAGCATCTTTGGGACTTGCGGGGTCGTGTTATTTATTACCCTGTGTGGGATTAGCGGAAATCCACGAAGCCAGAGGTCACCCATTTGACCATCCATCATCCAACGATATGCAAATACATCATCGGATTACGTCCTTTGTTCTTATCATATCACCCAAAGGTTTCATTTGGAAGAAGTAGCGCTTTGGCCTGGTGGCCTTGGCCGTACCAACCGCATCCATCAGGGGCTGAAGGCAATCCATAACAAGCCCTGACGAGCACTTCATAAGAACAGAAAGGGTTCCTCTGACGCATGTGTATTTACTAATCTATTTCTGACCTCTGCAACAAACACTTTGTCAACATGTCGTCGACTTGCGTCCTTCCGACCGCTTCGACCGCTTCCGGCGCCAAGGCCCGGACCGTGCCAAGCATTTGTGCGCCGGTGTCCTTTAAGCATTACAGACGCAGCACAACCAACAAGGCTCCGCGGAAGAGGACCTTCCTCGTTACCATGACCAGATACAATGCTGACCTGCGCGTGCAAACTGGAGCCTACAGCCACAACGTTTCGATGCTCTCTTGTGGTGTTTGTCGTGAGAACTATGGAGATTGGACCCCGTATGGTGAGCTCCTGGCCTGCTGAACTGACCTTTTCCATTTCAACTCTCGCTTTTCCTGGATTTAACTCGCCTTATTACAAGTCTCAAGATCAATGCAAAATGCTTTCAATGCTGCACACGTTCCTATGCCGTATGAATACGCACATAAAAAGCTCTCCAACGGTGGCTGTACGCAGGTGACAACGGCAACGGCAACAACGGCAACAATAACGGCAGCAACAACAACAATAAGAAGAACTGGGGCCCTGGAGACTTTGGTAGCGATGACAGCTTCCGGCTCATTCTGCAGCTCTTTGGCAAAGTCATGCTGGGCGCCTTGGCGCTTATCGCCGCAGTGGCGGCCTTCCCAGCCTCCAGCTCTGCCACCTCAGCCTCATCGTCATCTCCGCCCAGTAGCGTTTCACCCCGTGGCACTCGCCTGGATGCTGATGGCCAGAGGCTGGGCGGCGACGTCAAAGCTAGTTGGTCTACCTCCCCTAGCAGCAGCAGTAGCAGCTCCTACCAGCCCCTGCCTCGTTCCAAGGTCATGCACGTGGCCTGCAAGGGCAGCACCCTGGTGGTTCCATTGTCCGACCCTCAGGTAGATATACAGTTAGTTATTTTAAGAGGATAGGTAGTGGTAGGTAGAAAGCATAGGGCCCTACTTCTCCCGCATATCCAAGTTTGCAGGGCGTTTGGGTCAAGCGGTCTACTGAAACTTAAACCCTCAATCCAGAAAATGAAGAATCCCCAACACATAATGCATCATTGCGCAATTCATACGATTTAAGGGCCCATCGATAATCGCAATGGTGATTTGTTCGATCGGGGTTTGGTGCTGCGGTTCGTGTACTGGGTCATTTCTCTTTCAGGATGCGGCGCACACATTACACGTTAGGGTATTGCGGCGTGCCCCGGCCCCTGCCCTACACGCGTCTATCTCCCCTTTGCCCTTCTTCTCCGTCTTCAACCCCCTTTGCTGGTCTTCCTTCACCCGGGCCCCAGGCCGCGGAGCGTCTGCCGGGTGGCTGGCAGCGCGCCAAGATTGTGGAGGCCCCCATTGAGCTGTCGGGTCGCGAGGTGGCCATCATCAACCGCCGCCAGTACTGCGTCCGCGAGAGCATGCGTGTGTGATTGTGAGGCGGCGCTCTGCCGCTCGTGGTCCCCACCTGCGCTCTGGTCTTGCCTCCCGATCCGGCTTCGTGGTTGGTGTTGTTGTCTTCGAGTTTACCGCTGTCAGATCTGTTTTATTTGTACCAGAGGCGTCCATACGTATTGTTGGGACTCCACTGTGGAGTCGTTATGTTCGTTTTTTGTACCCGTAACCCGCTGCGTGTGTCTGCTGCTGCGGCTACAGCTACTGGTGCCGTGGCACTGGGCTCGAGTGTGCAATTATTGCGGTGACAGCTGTTTTGATGGTGATGATAAAAATGATAACAATTGTCTAAATGACGATGGTGGCGATGATGACTGTAGTGCTGAGGAATGGAGTCGAGATGGAATGTTGGCGGACCCAAATCAATTATGTCATTGTTGTAGTGACTGTGCGGGTGCTGGACGCGTTGGTCTCTTGGTTGATACGCGTCATGCGGTGCTGTGTGATGTCGGTGTGCATGTGCACGTTTTTTGAGTTTACATGTGAATGTGCAACAAAGACGCGATTATCGTGGGTTAACCCGACGACAATTCTGTACGGGGAGCTCTAATTGTACCTTAGGGGCCGCGGGCATGACCCACGAGCGTATGCATGCCAAGGGTTCCCTCCATTCAAAAGCAAGTTTCAGGACCTTCGGGTTTACGGAGGCCGGGTGCAGGGGCAAGTCAGTAGCGCGTCTCAAGCGAGCCTTTGTGAACGAGTAGATAAAAAAAGGGACTCCTTCCGTTTTGCGTGTGCGCTGGGTACTGCAGCGGCTTCTGTCACAATTGCTGGAGCCACTCGGATAGGGCATTTAGCTCTTGTCATACCCAGAGGCCATCCCGGCAGCCGATGGCCGTACCATCTTAGGAAGTTTAGCTGGGGCTGGCAGGGAGCGTATGGTGCTCATGTGAGGTGTAGAAATAGTACACGCCTTTTCCTGTGTTAGGATGGCTCCCATTAGCGCTTTGGGGTTGTCGGCCCCTTGGTGTTGCAGTGGATGTTAGGACGAGGTTTTCATACTGTGTGCAACGCAAGTGCTTAGGGTTGCAAGTGTCTCTATGTAAGCGTTTGCCGCTTGCATGATGGAGGCAGGCCGTGACAAGAAGCCATGTCATGGGAATGATGTTGTTGTTCTGTGCTCCTGTCTCCCTTAACCGTATTCTCATGGGTATGTCGACTCGAACGTGCTGGCTGACCGTGCAAGGAACGGTAGAGACGGGAAGCGGGGAGACCAGCTGCCAAGGGCCCTTACACTGTCAGCTAGAAGCTGAAGCTCTACTGAGTGAAAGGCAGAATGCCTGTAACGAAAGAGCTGAAGCAATTATTACTCGCCATTCCAATACGGTTGTACGACAGTCGCACAGAACCAGACTTAGAGACTCCGATCGCTTCGCTCCGTCGTATCTAAGTCAACAATTGGGGTGTTACACTGTGGGCGGCTCGTCCCGATAAAGGACGAGCACCGGGGGCCCTGACCGGACCGAAACACAGCGCAGGGACGAGCGCGCGGCTCCACGTCCGTCTGTGCCTCCGTGCGCACCTCACTACCTAACCGGGCTACCCTCCACACAAAATACCAACGCATAAAACACGCATTTCACACGCAATCCTAGTCCAATATTTCACACAAAATTTGAGTAATTATGGCCAAATTCCCGCAAATTACTTTCAAAAGTTCACACAAAACTCTTTCACAGCTCAAAAAAGTACTTTTGTACATTTTCCAGCTGCTAGCCAAAGAGTTCACACAAGAAACTTGGGGATGAAGTCATCCCAAAAAAGTTACTTGCAGCCCCTGTAGCCATTCTTGGTCAAATATTCACACAGAAGATGTGATGTCGAAATAATTTTGCACGAATTGTGTCATAAGAGCCCCCCATGGGCAACATTTTCACTTTTTCGGCACTTCTTCACGTTTCGACAAATACTTCACACGCGGGGGAAGACTTCGTCTTCCCTACACCCCTCAAGCCTACCACCTGGGCAAAAAACTCACTTTTTCGTCACTTCTTGGATTGGTATCTCTACCTGGTCAAGAATCTCATTGTCCCCATATCTCCATACCATTACCCCCCATATCTCCATACCATTACCCCCCATATCTCCATACCATTACCCCCCATATCTCCATACCACACAACCCCCCCATATTGATGTACCATTGTCCCCCATATTTCCATACCCAATACCATCCCCATACCACTCCACTCCATCGCACGGTAGCAATGCAAAACAGTCTGCAATGTTACTTCTTCCCCATCTCATAGCAAAAAGATACTCACAGTCTCCGATGCCATTCCAATTCATTTCACGATAGCAACTACTTTCGATCCACGTGATAGGGTTATATATATACCCCCCTTGCGAGGCAGATTCAAAACAGGTGTCCTGTGGGTGTGGGAGAGACGCCAGTCTCTCCCACTCTGTACGAATTATGTCACGTGAGAGAGACTTCGTCTCCCCCACACCCCATAACATTGTCTCCTATTCCTGTACCACTCCATACCATCCCACGTGGGGGCATTGCCCCCCACAAGCCTGTTACAAAACCCCCAATCCCTGTACCACTCCATACACTCGACCCGGCAATGTGTTCCACAATGTTTGGCTCAGACTATATCACGGAATGACCCCGATTCCTGTACCATTGGACTCCATCTCACGATAGCAATGTTTTTTGGGGCTCTAGAGAAATGGACCACTTCCTGAAAGAGAAATCCAGCGTTTGCCGACCAAGGCTCCGATACTTCGTTTGCTGCCGTAGGAGCCGCTCCGAGAGCCTTCTACAAATACATCCAGTAAAATATCTTCCAGGCAGACACCATACCATATGAAACTAATTTGGACGGATGAAGCTCTTTTCCGGTACAATGAACGAATTGTCAGGAACCCCGTGACGCAATCAAAAGCTGTCACGAGAAGCCATGTAGGGCATGATAACCGGCTTTTCTGAAAAAACAGAAATTGCCGGCCCGGTTACTCTGGGAACCGGACACTCTGGGAACCGGAGACTGCCGGAGATCTCCGGGGAAAGAAGCATAACCTTGTATTCCAAACCCGGCGGCCTCATCCGTGTGGTGATGGACACCAGAAGGCCTCCGTGGAAGATTTGCACCATTGTGTTCGTTGTGCCTCCTACACGCTATTGGAACAAGGATGTCATTGCTGCAAAGGACTACCAGCAGGTAGCCGTGTTGTTGTCTCTGAGTCTCCGGATCCGGAACGTTCACATGTACGGATCTCACTCGCGAGCTTTAGTGCAATTTTAGGGGTCCGGAGCAGGTCTCACCGGCACGCGTCGCACCGTTCTAATTTAGAGAAAAGCTTGCGTGAACATGGTAATCTTAATGTAAACTTCAATAATTTGATCAGCAAAGGCTGTTAGGTTAGGCTGGCTTGGCACACGGTCACTCATCCGCCGCGCATGGCACCCAAACCGACTCCTACAAGCCGCCTGCCGATCATCTAGCCCCCGACATCTTACTTTTATGACATACAGTCTAAGCCAAACAAGTCGGGTTTCGGCTTCCTCGAAGCCGGAAAAAGGGCGGGCCCCCCCTGCATCCGTACAGGCCGGTAGCTAGCGCGGCACGTGTGACAATTGATGGGTAGTGTCAACGCGGTGGGAGATGTGCTTTGTTGCAGCAGTGCTGATGGTGTGAGAGCTAAGCTTGCACCAGCGGAATCGTCAGCACCGCCTGCGGGCTTCACGCGAATCGCATCCATCCCGGGTGCATGCCGCATGGACAGTGCGGCAGACCGCAAGTCGGAATGCCCGTGCGGGCAAATGGTAACACAAGCTGGGTGAATTTCGGTGCTGTCTGTGATGTTTATCCCCGAAGCGCCGGCGGCCTCAGCAATCCGCCCCACAGCCGCGGGCTTCATCGGGGCACACCGCAACTCTTCGGAGGCCCCGTGCATTGGCCAAAGTAAATGTACAAACAAGCAGCTTGTGTATTTCATAGAGAAATGAAAAAGCAAATTATGTTGGCCTGCTGGTGGCAAGTCGGATTGCCCATGCCGGCAAATGGTAACACAAGCTGGGTGTTCGAGTTATCATACGCCGTCATCACAGAATTCCATTATGAGATACGCGGCAGCTTTCGGGATGAAATTTAGCGCGAGAGGCGTTGATGTGACTTTGGCCTCGGTCAATTGCGGCAGCCAAACTTGTTTGTGCTCATACGATTTTTGTTGGCTACATGCGAGATACCTTGCAATAGAGAATGCTGTATAGTACCTACAACGCGTTTCAGCCGGGCGAGATATTATGTTTGGTCCACACACACACACACACACACACACACACACACACACACACACACACACACACACACACGCACGCACGCACGCACGCACGCACGCACGAACGTGGATCGAAAGTAGTTGCTATCGTGAAATGAATTGGAATGGCATCGGAGACTGTGAGTATCTTTTTGCTATGAGGCGGGGAAGAAATAATATCGCAGACTGTTTTGCATCGCTACCGTAAGACTGGGTGGAGTGGTATGGGGATATGGGGGGGCAATGGTACATCAATATGGGGGGGTTGTGTGGTATGGGGAATGGTGGGGGAATGGTATGGAGATATGGGGGGCAATGGTATGGAGATTGGGGACAATCAGATTCTTTACCAGGTAGAGGTACCTACATCATGGGGGTGTGTGGGGGACGTACATTCCCACCCCCCCCCACGTGCGAACTATTTGCAGATATACCAAGAAGTGACTCCCGCACTCACGTCAGCCAGGGCACTCTCCAAGCCCCTAGCTAGGCACTACAGCTAGAAGACCGTGAACCGAAATAAGCAAGAGCCGCGTGAGAGGCACCATACCACCTCCAGGAACCCTAACCAGGCCACCTGCCCCCACTGTTGTTGTTGATGTTGTTGATGTTGTTGGGGTGTTACACTGTGGGCGGCTCGCCCGATAAAGGACGAGCACCGGGGGCCCTGACCGGGCCGAAACACAGCACAGGGGCAGGCGCGCGGCTCTACGTCCGTCTGTGCCTCCGTGCGCACCTCACTCCCTCACTCACGCCAACCGGGACGCTCTCCCAGCCCCTGGCTAGGCAACGCAGTGGTGCAGAAGACTGCAAACCGAACTAAGCGAGAGCCGCACGAGAGGCGCCACACCACCTCTGGGAAAACCTAAGCAAGCTAACTGCCCCCACTACACCTGGCCAGCCTAATCGCGCGCTCTCGTCCCTCTTGACCGCCAAAACAAGAACAAAGAGAAAACACCACCGGGGGCAGGGGCTCTTCTCAGGGGGCTCCACAACACACTCAAAAACCGAAGCAAGGGAAGATCTACCCATCTCATGTACGGCCCCTCCGAAGACTCTCCCAGTCAAGGGCCCCACACAGCCAGCAAGGCAAGAGATACACGGAGGACCATGGGCCTGAGACGACACACCACTAAAACCGAGACGCGGTTGCACCGAGAAGAAAAACACAGCGCGGGCACTTGCACATTGGACCTTGAAGGCCAGCTGTTCACCTACCACTAGCAACGGACACCTACCGAGGACGGCCACCACTACCTCACCGGTCCACTCACAACCGGGGCAAGAAAAACTGGTCCGTACGGCAGTCTCCTCCTGGGGTTGTGGGCTTCCGGGTGCAGCCCAGCGCAAGACACAGCAAGAACACCTATTGCCGCGGGGGGGCTGACAAGCCAGCGCGGCGCCCCCCTACAAAGCCCGAGAAGGGCTCAACACGGCTCACAGACGCTGCCTGCTTCCGCTTACCACACCGAGATCCCTCCCCTCCTTTTAAACTTGAGCTGCCTTTTAGAATCACATCAATCATCCTTTCACCCGGAGGGTTCAGCATTCGCGACCAATCCAGCGTGCGAATCTCGGTCCACCGACTGTGACCTCAACTCCACATCTCAGTAGCTAGCCATAATCTCACGGATTACACAGGTATCGTACCTAGGACTTTAAACCGCAAATTGCATTAGTGTCTCCAGACCAGACCTGGAAAGTGAGTGTATGCGTGCCGGAGGGTTAAGTGGATTACTTAACCATCAACATGGCGCGGTCTTATTATAATTATGCTTTAATGAACGCAAGCACCAATACTTATGTATTCGTGCGGATCGGTTTGCGACCAACCTAGGTAACGGTCGTACGTAGGGACAGAGTAGGGTTTACACGGGTTCAGGGCATCCAGTTAGGTCATCCATATCCACAACAATACACCTCAACACTCGCATCTTCGCAGCTCATCAACGTTGCTAAACCTGCACTATGTTCACAAGTAGGATGCCTGGGAACAGTCTAGGGTGTTGTCCCCGCTTCCGATCTCCCGTTAGCGTTTGTGACGGTAAAGTGTTTAAGACTAGTAAGAATCTGGATCTGATGAGCTCATGCAAGGTCAACCTTATCGGAGCGCTTGTGTCTCGGAGTCCGCAGAGGCGCGAGATTGCTGCATACTCGACGGTGTTCGATGTGACGCCTTCTGCAGCGGCATGCCTTTGCATATGCGGCACTGACGGAGGTAAAACCTAGTCTATGCGACATCTCTACGTTCGTGTCCGCAATCACTACGTTTGTGCGCAACTTGTGACGATTAGTTACTTATATTTCCTTTAGCCGTAGAACAAGGCAAGCGTAGTAGGTGGAACAAGTTGCCTTTACATTCCACGGGTACCCTGCCCCAGGCAACGGTGGCGCGGGCCGCAACAACAATAACAACAACAACAACAAAACGAAGTACGGTCACAGTGGCGATGACGACAACAGCGGCCGCGAACCTGACTTTGGCTTTGGCAAAGAGCTGTGGATGCGATGTTCCCGCCATGCGCTGCTCGGCGCGCTTGCGCTGCTCACCGCTTCAGCGACCTTCTCACCTCCAAGCTACGCTGCCCCAGGTTCTCTTTTTGATTCCTGCAACAACATTGAGACCTCCATACAAACCCCCCCGCTCAGCTCCTCAGCGCCAACGGGCGGCGGCGACTTTTTCCTTGAGAGGTCATCTTCCTTAAAACACCGATTTAGCACCGAGGGCGGTCGCAGCGGCGGCAGCTCCGCCTCCGCGTCCACTTCCTCCTCCCCAAACCGCCCCCTGCCCCGTTCCAAGGTGATGCACGTGGCCTGCAAGGGCAGCACCCTGGTGGTGCCCCTGACGGGGGCCGGTGGTGACAAGGTAAGAGCGAAGAAGGAGGGGTAGGGGGGGAGGTGGGGGAAGGAGGGGGAAGGGGGGGCCGGTGGTGACAAGGTAAGCGGAGAAGGAGGGGTAGGGGGGGAGGTGGGGGAAGGAGGGGGAAGGGGGGGCCGGTGGTGACAAGGTAAGAGCGAAGAAGGAGGGGTAGGGGGGGAGGTGGGGGAAGGAGGGGGAATGGGGGGGTTTGAGAAGCAATGATGGCTTACCCCCGGCTGCGGTCACCGCCTCCGCCACCATAGTCTCTTAACCCCCGACCTCCCCCCGGTTTATGCTCCTTACCCTTCCTTACCCGCTCCCTCCTCCCCCTCCCCAATACACACGCAGGTTCCCTACGCCCAGTCCGGTCGCGTGTCGCTCCCCTGGCAGCGCAAGCGGGTGGTGGAGGCGCCCATACAGCTCTCGGAGAGGGAGGCGCGGATGATTTTGTCTAGCCGCCAGAACCGCGTGCGGGATAGCCTGCTGGTGCAGTGAGTGAGTGAGTGAGTGAGTGAGGAGGAGGAGGAAGGAGACGAAAAGGGGCCCATTTGCAAAACGTTGTCCACTACCAGGAAATGGTATCACGAATATATTGGAGTTGCAGATTGCAGAGGGGAGTGGTGGCGGTGGCGGTGGGACATCGGTTCTGGTTAAGTGACTGGCGGTAGTGTGGCTGCGGTAATGTGCAGTCTGACGCAAACGCCGCCTCTCTGGGCGGCAGAGGGGACTTCCGAAGGGCGGCAGAGTAGTCCGAAGAACAGATGCGCGACATGGGAGGGGACGGAGACGAGAAGAGGAGGGAGGGCAGGGAGGAGAGAGAAAGGGGGGGGGGAAAGTTACCTAGGCGGTCGAGGAAACATCGTCACACCCGAGCAGCAGCAGCAGCAGCAGCAGCAGCAGGAGGAATGGAGGGGGAAATCTTCCGGTGAACTTCCGAAGTATTTGCAGTTGTATTTTTGGTGGAAATAGTGAATGTATTAGTAGTAGTAGTAGTTGTTGTTGTTGCACTAGAGAACGAGGTAGGCAACCATATTTGCGATGGTAATGGTAGTGGTGGTGGTGGTGCATGTATCAATAGCTGGTGGTGCCCGGCTGTCCTTCCCCCTTCTCCTCGTCCGTCGGTCGGTCGGTCGGTAGGTCGAGTGAATGTTTCAGCCGTTTTGCGTGCTTGCGCTTGTCCGTCTATGCACTTAGTCCGTCTGTCTGTCTGTGTGTGTCTCCGTACGGCAGGGGATGTGGGTGTGCGTGACCGTGGAGGGGTCGAGTCGTACCCCCGAGAGGTCCAGAGACGCAAACTGTTGTACTGGGGATGTATGTATGTATGTATGTATGTAGCCACTCCATCATGTATGTATGTACGTATGTATGTACGTATGTATGTACGTATATGACTTAGATTACACTGTGGGCCGCGAGAGCCGGGGGCCGAAGCCGAAACACAGCGCAAGGGTCGGGAGCACACAGCACAAGTCGGTTATGTACGTATGTATGTATGTATGTACGTAAGTATGATTGCTAAAGTCTGATTGTTACTACTGGGCGTTTCGTTGATGCCACAGCGCTTGGGATGATACTTCTTCGTCTGCGGCGTGCCCGCCGCGTGTTTCATATTGTATGCTCTATTTCTGTTATAGTAAGTAGCTGTTCCGGCTTGCTCGTCCAGCAGCATTCAACCAATTGGTAGCGGTCGTACATTGCAGCAAGTGTACATTAGCTTGGATCAGGTTAAGACGGCCTTGCGGATAAAAGGGAAGGGTTGTAAAACCCCTCCCCCCCCCGCCAACCCGCCAAGCCCTTTTTTGCGGCGCTTTCCAGTGCTTTGTTGTTGGATTCAAGGTACGGCACCATGTACGGCGCGTCAGCGTGTGTGTGTTTGCCTCAGATGGGAGCCTTGCTTTGCGACAGAAGCTTTGAGGCCCTGGGGGGGGGTGAGTGGCGCCCAGGGCATGTTGCTGTGCGCTTGTGTGTATGTATGTCGGCCCCATGTGTATGGTGCCCTTGGGGCTCTTGCTCCTTCCCTACTTAGCCTCCGGTTGGTGACCGCGAGGGGGATTGCGAGAAGATTGAGATTGGGGGTGATGGGGAAAGTACGTGTGTGTGTATGTATGTATATAAGTATGTATGTACGATATTACGAAGGTGACATGATTTGTTGCAGGTACTGGGCGGTTCTGGGTGGTCGTGTTTTGAACTTGTGATGCACGGTGGTCGTTTTGTCAGTTGGTGCATTTCATTTTACGTCATTGTTTTGGCCGTTTTTGAGACGTAGGAGACGGACGTTCTCTTGGAGCTCGGACCCACCGATTTTTTTTTGGTTTGTGTGACGGAGGTGTCGACACCTCCGTCCAGCGTTTGATGCACCAGTTGCAGTCGTCTCTCCACCACCTCTCTACCACCTCTCTACGTGCCTCGAGGAGGACCAAGATCGGGTGGATGGTAATGTCGTTCAAGGTGAATGTCCAGTGGGTACGACGGGACGATTTTCATTGTTGTTTTCGTTGTTGACTTGATGGCACGATGGCCCTGATGATGAGGCGGTGCGCGGGGGGGGGGGGAAGGTCTACACCGACCACCTTTGTGTGGGCGGACTTGGGAATTTTTCTCCCGGAAAGCGCGACAGTTCTCTGTGCACAGCAGTCAGTAATATCTGTATTGTTGCAAACAAACTGCCAAAGTTTTAGAGGTGTTTTTAAGTGTGTGAAGATATATTTATTTTGATGTTTGTTGTCGTCCAGGCAGGGGGCAGTACGGCAAGACGTCTCCGCCTTAGATGTACACGTACACGTGGGTCCTTTGGTGTGTGGTCTTTCCAGTTGCATGTTGCAAATCGTGTATCAGGGGATGTGTTCGCACTCTGCGCAGGTGTTGATTGGCAGCCGCCCGAGGGCTGTAGGAAGGAGGGTCCCAAGAGTGTGTGTGTGTATGTATGTATGTATGTATGATGTGTGAAACAGGGGGGTGTATCTTCGCCCGTGGCAGCTACCCTGCGAAACCCTGCCTTCCCCGGTATTTCGGGGCACCCTCATCCAGTCACCCTAGTCAACTTCTCAGTGGATCGCTCAGGTTCCGCACCCACCACCAGCATCCAACGGAATCTGCCGGGTCGACAGCGGCCCAACTCCGTTCCTGGTCGGCTCGCAGGTTAACTTTATCCCAGGTCACCACCGTCCATCAACTAGGGGCGCAATGCCTTCCACCATCGGAAGGACTTTGACCCTACTGGGTATCGATCCCGGGATCTCCCGGGGGCAATGGTCGCGCCTTACCAGTAGTGCCAAACCCTATATGAATGTATGTATGTATGTATGTGTGTGTGTTTTATACACCTCGGTTGCGTTACCCACATAGAGAGGTGTAACGAGGGGCATAGCCTGGCATGATGCGGTTTGGGGGACATGGCCTGGCATGATGCGGTTTGGGGGGCATTGCCTGGCATGATGCGATTTGGGGGACATGGCCTGGCACAATGCGGTTCGGGGGGTTTCGTTTGTGTGTGTGAGCAGACTTGCAGACTTTGTCATTAGTGCAACTCATGCATCAGGTTTTTGCTGCTCTAGTTGCCGAGCCTCGTCAATCTTGTAACACAAAGACGAACTTCTGCACTCATCCCTTCGACTCGCATACTTTGCACTTCCGAATTCGAGCAGCTTCAGTGTTTGACTGGTCCGCGCTTCACTTGGGATCCGTTTGTCCCCTCACTCTGATCAGCTATGTGCCCCAAATTTAGTTCGCTGTGCCGGACATTATGTTGTCGTTCATCCGCCTCCTGCACGTGCTCGAGAGTATCTGTTGCACTGCACTTGAATTGCAAGAGCATCGCACCGCATTCAACATCAGGTGGTTTTCGTACGTACCACGCTGTTCGATGTTGTTGCCGCGATAGGGAAGCGACGCTCTGCTGGGTAACCGGTCCTGTCGAGTTCTGGTACGACCCTCCGGTATCTGCTCCTGATGCTGACGTCGCTCCCTCCTTCGCCTTTCTCCGTTTCTAAAGGTTTATCTATGAGGTTTCGAGGTAAAGAGTGCCAGTCCGATGCCTCCATTCTTATCGACACTGGGAACATGACTTCAGCCCTCTTAAGTGCAGTTTTGCTCGTCACATGGGTTTGGCGATTCAGCCGGATCCGGGTTTTTTACTGTGAACTTCGAGAATGCCGAGTGACAAATCCACATGGTCCAGGAGCAGCGCGCGTTCATGTGGACGGTGGTAGGGGCCAGGAGCCTAACTAAGCTTCTGCTGTACTGTGAGCTGTCATAGAGGCCACTACAATTTCATTGGGCTAACTTACGTTTGCTTATGTAAGTCGGGCACAGAGCCCACTACAATTATGTTTTGGAAAGTCCAGTGTTACAGAGCTTTTGTCGCTGACCTGCCTGGCACTTGGCAGATTACCAATCTGTTTCGGCTGTACGGGCGATTAACTGGTCGGTTGCTATCGGTTGTGGTGTCGTGACTCTTCCGTGTGCCGTAGTTTGTGGAGCATCATCCTATTGTGTTTTTCATGTCGCGCTACGGTACGAGGATTAGTGATAACTGCACAGCGGGCTTTGCAGCAGCACTGTGTCGTACCGTCGAGGTATATTGCGCCTTGATTTGCTATGAGCCGGTAATAGACACGCCGCACGCTGACTTGTCCACACACACGCCCTCCCCGCTTGTTTGTCACTGTATGTCCGCATGAACCTGGTCCTGCAATCAACATGATGGTCCTGCTGCTGCTGCTGCTACTGCCGGAGTTGAGTACCTTCAAGAGCTGCGATTACTGGCGGGTGCCTCAGGCAAATTTCTTGCGAATCTCTGTATGGCAAGGAGCAGAGGTGCGGTTAGGCCAGAGGTGAAGCCAGTGCGGCGGCGGTGGTCGTGGAACTGGTGGCGGTGCATGGCGCGATGGACATGGATAGGGTGTCTATATTTTAGATTCGGCCCCGGGGACCTATTTCCATGTGGGTTCGAGCCCCACCGTGATCGAGGCTACAGCCGAGCTCGCGGCTAAAGCTTCACCTTGTCAACACCTCTCTATTTTCTCGTTTTTATCCAATAGATATGTCTAGCAGAAGATAAGGAGAAACTGAATTAGCAGCAAAGTGCGGTTGTCCGATACGCGCTGGATGAGAAGCGGCGCCAGTAAGCGCCACATCCAGGCCGCGTGCCGTTGGTGTGTAAGTATTTCAACAGTTCGTAGCGCCCGCGTGCGCTTTGGTCGTCAAGCCCTGCACCCGCGTCGGCTCCCTTGTTGTGTGCACTTCGGTATCTTACCGTTACATTGCCATCTATGACGCGGCAATTGTCATTTTAGGAGCTGATGAAAATTCGGACTGGAAAATTCACCGGCAAAATTGAAAATAAACACAGGAAGGCAGGATCTGCCAGGTAGCGGCTGCAGGGTGAAGATATGACCCCCCTGTCCCATACATCATACATACACTCTCTTGCACTTGGATGTGTCGGACCGTCTGTCTTGCAGCCACCCTGTGGACCACTATCAGGCTACCGCAGCTCGGTCGGCATCATGAAGGCAGCTGCTGATTACATATTGTCACTTGGTGTTGGGATGACAGCACAGTGATGGAGCTGATCATGAACTTGTTGGAGCAAGGGATGGATGGCAACAAGTGATAGGGAACGGAAATGTGGCGGGAAGGGGCTAACAGGCG